TCACTTTGGGACTAGGCTAATTGGTGTGAGTGTTGAAAATATATATTTATTAATTACTAGCGGCCCGCCCTCGCTTCGCTTTGGTGTAGAGCTGAAGTATACGCTATAGTTTTTTTTCTCAGGCTTGTATTAAACACAATTGGTTTTAAAGCCCGATTGGTTTAAAATTGACAAAGTTTCATACAAACTTTCATTCCCTATTTTATCCCCTTGGGGGTAGAATTGATCAAAATCCTTTCTTAGCGGATGCCTACGTCATAACATCTACCTGCATGCCAAATTTCAGCCCGATCCGTCCAGTGGTTTGGGCTGTGCGTTGATAGATCACTATGTCAGTCAGTCCCCTTTGACTTTTATATACTTATATATAGATAAAAACGGTCATTTTTATTACCTGTATTTATAATTAAACTAAAATTATCATATTTACGTTATATAATCGGAATGCTCCGAACTGCTAAGCTATTAGGAGTTTAGTTTACACGTGTAATTGTGAGTCAACCATAACCGTAAAAGATAGACATATGCTGTTGCGGGATATTTTTTTACACAATTTTATGTAGAATATTTCCGTCATACATAATTTCTATGTAACTTTAACCATTAAGGCTGCACACGCGACGGAAGCTGAAAAAATGGAGTAACTTCTCCCGTTTTCCCAACATTTCCCTTCACTACTCTGCTCCTATTGATTGTAGCGTGATGAAAAGTATACTATAACCTGCCCAGGAGTATGAAGAATAATTGTACCAAGTTTCGTTAAAATCCGTCGAGTAGTTTTTGTTTCTATAAGGAACATACACACAGACAGACAGACAGACAGACAGACAAAATTTTTACTGATTGCATTTTTGGCATCAGTATCGATCACTTATCACCCCCTGATAGTTATTTTGAAAATATATTTCATGTACAGAATTGACCTCTCTACAGATTTATTATAAGTATAGATTATTATTAAAGTTGCATTGGACGACGATAGAAAATCACGATCGGATCGGATCACCATACGACAGCTTGTCAATTTGTATGACTATGTCTGCATGAGGAGCTCGATGGCGCAAGTGGTTAGCGCGTTCGGCTGCGATTGTTGAAGTTAAGCAACTTTCGCAGTGGTCGGTCATTGGATTGGTGACCAAAAATTTACTATCACGAGTTCCTCCGTGCTTCGGGAGGCACGTTAAGCCTGGTCTTGGCTGCATTTGCAGTCGTTAGCACCCGCCAATCGGCACTGAGCCCGCGTGGTGGATCATGGTCCAATCTCCCTATTCCATCCATAGGGAAGGCCTGTGCCTCAGCAGTGGGCACATTAATAGGCTGATGATGAGGAGGATGATTCAAAATAATCACAAAAGTAGAAACTTGCAGTTTTCATGGAATCTATAATAAAAGGTAGGTAGTATTTCTTTTTAATAGGTACACAATAATAACGTTTTCAAACAGCACAGTCATAAACACACACAGTTAGGTAGGTGAAGGGAAACAGTCGCACCCAGCAATTCCCACGCAAAACGTCTGTCAGTAATAGTTTACGATTTGCGTCCTATTATTTCCTCGTAACTCAACACTGCGGAGAAAGTATGGAGCGCCTACCTACTTGCTGGACATAAAGACGAGAACGCTGTGTTATAGAATAGGTAGGACATAACATTATTATTGGAGACTAGCGGCCCGCCCTCGCTTCGCTTCGGTGTAGACCTGAAGTGTAGACTATAGTTTTTGCTCTCTGGCTTGTATTATACACAATGACATTCATCTATGATTTTTCTTATACCTGCATGCAAAGTCTCAGCCCGATCGGTTTAAAATTGATAAAGTTTCATACAAACTTTCATTCCCTATCTTATCCCCTTGGGGGTAGAATTGATCAAAATCCTTTCTTAGCGGTCGGCGGTAAACTTCAACGATCGCACTAACCACCCGCGCCATTGAGCTCCTCATTTTTATACATAGACTAATGAAATTAAATTAAAAAAAAGTTCGATCAGACAACAGGAGGGAAGTAGCCGTAGTGACATTATACTACCGAGATCATTCTGCCACTTTTTGCATGAGGAATATGTACACAAATGCAGTCTAACTTACATTCGCAAAAACAAACTCCTGGCGTTATTGCTCTATGGTACGACTCTATCATTCATAACTTGGTTGAAAATGTCTTAAAATAGCCTACTAACATTTCTTAGGAATTACCTACCTATTAGGCGTCGGCCTAATTGGCAACGATCATACGATGACACGATGCGTTCTTGTCGTGCGATGATGTTCAAAGTAATCTTCAGAAGTGTCCTAACCTAATACAGCTCGTAAGCCGTCGCACGAGCACGAGCACAGGTACATTATTTTCATCGCACGTTCGTTGCCAGTTAGTACGACGCCTTACAAGATTTATAAGACATACGTCCACTCATACATAACCAACAATATCGCAAAAAGCAAAGAATAGTGAAAAAACGACAGTGGATAGATAGTATATATCATACTTTATGTTTCATTTCTATGGAAAGTCATTCGTACTGAGCACTTCAAAAATGACTACAAATCATACTTCGTTGAAAAACCTTTGAACACTTGAGTCGAGATTATTTATATTTTAGGTCCCTAATATTTCATGTCCCATGTCTCTATATATTTGAGTGCTGCGTTTTTGTGAAAAGTAATCCAGATCTTTTTAAAATAAGAGAACAGACTCATGTGCTCGGCCTTCGCCCTCGGAAACCTCAAATTTGTACAAATATGTGTAGAACAGCTCTAATGAAGAAAAGTGTTGCAGAAATGGCTCCTAAAGTATATAGTAAGTTACCTGACAGCATTAAATATTATAATACAAATACATTTAAAAAAATACTGTCGAAATTTTTAGTGGATAAATGTTATTATAATGTAAATAAATTTTTAACAGATGCTGATATTGATTTATAGATTAATGTATTGATTCTTTTATGATTATAATTTTATTGAATTTAAAATGTAATGATAACAAATTTTCGTAGGTATGCTGTTGAGCATGTCATGGAGGCACATTTATATAAATTTTAAAAACTTATTGTTACCGATGACAACGAATAAATGATTTAATTGATTGATTGATTGTTACCTGCCTACAGCTTAGCGCACTTTCCTTGTTTCACAAGTGTCAGTGTAAGCAATGTTTTAACAAAAAGTCTTTGTAATTGATTCATGCTACAAAAACATAATGACCATTTTTTTAATGCACTGTCTAGAATGTACCTAATTAATAACTGAGTAAAGCTTGATTAACAGTGGATTACCTTACCTATACAATTAAATCAGAGTATTGAGTCGCAGCAGGAAACTACAGGATTGCCAACTTTAAATTTTCTTACAAAGATTTATTCAATATTCGTTTGTTATACGTAAGTATATTAGCAAAATTTAAAAAAACAGTTTTTATAGTCTCCCTTTTTTAAAGCAATTTAGGGTAAAAGTACCAGTAACTGGCCCCTTAGTGACTTTGGTCACTTTCAACATAATTATGGTACTATAGTATTGTATTCATAAAAGCTACATTTTCTTTATACAGTAGAACCTCGATAAGATAAAGGCCAAGGGAAACGTTAAATAATTTGAGTTATTGAGGTTTTTACGTACCAAGGATTTGAGTTAAGGAGTTTTTATTTGTTTATATTTTTACTTACAGAAGTTCGTTTATTAGCTATGTTTAAGAATTATAAGAGATAGACGAGCTATGTTCGAACGAAGGCTAAAAGCTTATGATACAAATAAGTTACTGTACTGGGACCTTAGTGTATTGTTTACATTTGAAACCATTTGGAAAGGACGTGTAAGCAATAACAATGGTCTACAGGGAACCTTTTTTCTTTTCACATTCATTTAAAATGACTCATTGATAGATGCATGAAGTTACAAAGCTCGATGCCAAATTGTTCGTTTAACTTATAGAGGGTTCGTATTTTAAGTAAAAGAGGTTTTGGACTCCGAGGGGAAAGGAACACAAATAAAAGCACAATGCCTTAGGTAAACTTTAGCGGGAAATGATTGTAAATTTTTAAGTTAGTTATTCAATTACACCAAAACGGCTAAACGTAGACGAAATTAACTAAAGTTAAGGCGAACGAAGTCGAGGGGGGGGGGGGGGGGGAACTTGTAAAATAAGAAATAGGTATCCTAAATAATAAAACTAATCTAAATTTTAAGTAAATAACATGGGAAATATGGGTACTAAAAAAAACACTAAACGCATAGAACTCACTAAATATAACCTTGTGTTGCAAGCTTTAAGTGACTGTATTAATACTACATATTGGCTTGACATGAGCATGGGCATGGCACCTCTATGGATCTAGATTATAAAGATTAAAATATTCTTAATGATCCGAATACTATTTACCGAAGTGATTTTATTTTATTTAAATATTACGGACATTGAAATGCAATTCATAAGCAGTATTTTATTTGATACAGAGTTCGTGTTTAAAACTTACATTACAATTACGTTTACGCATACGATATTTTTCATGGTCAGCAAGGATTTAGCTGTGCATATACTTGAGCACAGAGTAGACCGGAAACAAGATAAACGCAGTCATACTATACCTACGATATAATAAGTTTATTTTCACAATGGCGGCATGCCAAGCGTTTGAGATCTGCATTGCACACCCACATGGATACATGTGACAACGCGTGGTGGGTATTTAATTAGAATTATAAGATAACTAATCTTTATGTTTTTTTTTATATTAAGGCCCGTTAAATAACTCTACCCACCCCACCTATGTGTGGTAACCCACATAAGTTACGGTGGAGTCCATACGCGACGTAATCCACCCCAAAATACTAATAGGCATTACCGCAGGGTATTATTCAAACTAAAACGCTGCGTATCTAACTAAAAGCAGTTCTTTGATCTCCAGCGAGAGACTACAAAAACAGTGTGGCGAATGATTTCCTTCCAGTCTAGTAAATAAAAATCATAAGTCACGCCCGTGTCTCAGAGCCGAGCGTAAAGATCTTACCTGTAAAGTTTCTCGGAAAAGACTTCTCTGTTTTGGCCATAGCACTCGCCTCGGAATGAATTAAGGTTCTGGAAAAAAAGAAAAGAACTCTTAAGCCCCATTCGATCGTAAACGCTAAGCGGATGCTCGCAAAAAATATCACGGTAACCTCAAACTGTTACTGTTTGTGCAGTGCGATTTGACAACTGCGTATTTGGTTTGGCATGTTCATTATCGAACTGTCGGTATGACCTGCAAATTAGCATTCGTTGACTACAGTCATGCTAATAGACTTTTTTTGTTGAACTCGAAACTGAGACAGTCGCGGTGCTCTGAAATGAGTTTATTGAAGATTCACGCTTCACTGCACCGGTAAGGGAGTGACAACGGAGATTTAGCAACTGGCGACATGTTTCCAGCGCTTTAATTAGCATGCGTGCGCTAATTCGACCATTCAAATCCATGTCATGAAAGCACCTCAATTCAATTCGTTTATTGCATATCCACCTCCATGACAGCTTGCATTTTTTTTTCGATCAAAGTTAATTACTTTATCAGGATTGTTAAAATTAAATACCCGTTATGTGTACGTCGAGACAATTTGCGATCGTTTGGCGCCAGCTCGTAACGGGTCATGGCGACTTTAACGGCTGCTCGGATATTTTTTTATAACCAGTACCTAGTGAGATTGATTATTTTTTACAGTGGGATTGAGAACTTGATGGATCCATAATCAGCATAAGATACTTTCTCTACTCCTGGGTATTATCTACTTTTTAATATTACCATTTTTATGTGCGTTCTTCTCATGGACCACATTGCTAATTATTCACTTTCTGTCCATTTCTTAAATATCTTATGGAGTATATATTTTAACCAAACTCGTGCTAATAAGAAATGATACATAATAATACGAAAGGTCACTAAAACTAATTATTTACTTTTATGGAGTATAGCCTATGATGGAGAATGATTTAGCTACTTGTATGGGAGTGATAGGTACCATCCGCTTTGTGAGACAGGTATTTTGATAGTTATTAATACTATTTCAGATTTTTTGGGACTATGCAATCCTAATATCACTATAGTCTCCGAGACCTAAAAGGTCTATTATGACTCACCCCTAAGTTAATGTATCTCTTTTAAGCCCGATAGCTTCCAAGAAGCTCAATACGTTTTACTTTTTAGACATTTGATTTCGTGGACGTATTATATATTATACCAATACATGTCTTGCCTTTGATCTTCTAGCAACCACGAAAGAGATGAAGTGAGTTTATGTGTGATAAAAGTTAGCAAACCTTTATTTACTGATGTAGTATATTTTGCGGGGTTACTAAATAATCTAAGGAAGGACAACCTGACACAGCTACACTGCTATAGTGCTATGGGTGTAGAACACCTCCAGTCCTTAACGACATTACATTCAACTTTAGTTGTATTTGTCGAAGTTGTGTCCGGCCGGATTCGGATGCAAGCCACTAACTGCCACTTAAACGCATTCTAACAACTTCGGATATATCCAGTTGTGTTATTCTGTAAGGACCAATTCACGTTTTACACGTGGAATCCAAGTATGATTTAAAATTAGAATACTACTTTGTATGATGGGGTTTAAAATTCGTATTCTACCTCAAATCACACCGCGGATTCCGCGCTGCAAAGTGAGTTTGTTTCGAATTTTACTGAATGCTGATATACTAAACGCACTGATATATCCTCGCAAATAACGTCGCAGATTTCAGTTGATCTATTTCAGTGGCCTTCTCAAGGTTAAAACATACGTCATTAATACGGTGCTAATACGCAACACAAAGATTCGTAAAATCTGCGGTATGTGCGAAAATCACTTTTGTAATATAACAGGGTGTAATGATCTGACAAATGATTTATAGTAATTGAAAACTCAAAGAATTTTGACGAAATCCCTAGATTTAAATCAAAATGATTTGATCGCGACAGCCCTGAAGTTTAGGTATTTATTGAAATTCCGAAAGAAAAACTGAGATAGAGCGAAGATGCTACGAATTCCGTCTGGTTACTGAGAAATAATTTGTGTCGTGTTCATTTGACGTACTTTATAACATGCACCATAGTAGTCAACATTAATTCATGTGACACGCACGACACCATGCAGTTAAAATCAAATTGCATTTAACAAGTATCACTAATAGGTTTGTATTGTTTGTCCAATATATTGTATTGATTGCATAAAATACTGAATCCTGTACGACTGACTATACCTAATTTTATACAATCTTAAGACTTATTATGTAAATAGTAAATTGAGATATTGTAAAATTTAAGAGCAAAAACTGGTCTCCAATTTTCAAAATATTTTTGGATGGCAATTACTTTAAGATAAAAGCTGTATAATTGTACTCTAACAAGTTCTGTTACTTTTTTCTTGTCGTCGTAACAGTATTGTAGTCGATACTGGAAGTAAAAAAGAGACTATTCAGTCCCTCATCTCTATTCAGTGCATTCATTAATGGTAACTTCCTCAATACTTCCGTTTTTGGAGAACGAATTTTGAGCCAATTGTGGAAGTTGTGGTTTATAAATGTTATAAATTTTAACCTTTAGAAAAAAATATCCAGCGATAACACTGGATTGTTATCGGACTCCATGGGGATTCTAGACTATCCCTCTGTCTAACTTCAACGACTCGTAGATTAAATATATTTTTACCTCCAAAAACAATCAAAATGTATGATTTATTTCGGGATTCTTTCGAATGAAGTTCCAAAATTTGAAATTGCCAGATAGAAATTAAAATAAGACCTTGGGGACAACGATATTAAATACCCTAGATACACCAATACGAACAAAATCATGCCCGAAACCCTTCCAAAAGGTACATTGGACGGTCAACGGAGCTCTGTAAGATGATCACGTAGTCTGAACAATATAAGGCATTATTTAAACATTGAAAATCACCTTTAAAGCACACTGTATCAGGTCTTAATTAAAATGCATGGGTTAAAGAGTTATGACAGTCAGAGATGTGAGCTCGTAAAATTTTACGACTTTTTGCTATAGACGGAAGAGTACAGACCTTATTTCTTTGAGTCTACATGCAATTCTGAATGCTCTGTTAGCAATATAGCAGATACGGACCGCGAAGAAAAGAGACGGCTATATTACCGACCATGCATTTTAATTTCACAAATATTTTCTATTAAATCAGTTTATCGTAAGTATTGAAACAAAATTTGCTTGAAATGCGTTAAATTAACAAACATTGATTAGATACCTGTCGATAAAACGTCATTTTACATACTATAAGTATTTATTTCGAATTTTTTCACAGAGCTCAGCGGCATGTTGACTTTTTAACGGTCCGCGCGTGACTGTGAACCAAGAAGTGCTTGAGTCGTGTTCAAGCACTTCTTGATAGGGAGCAGCATTTTGAGCGCACGTGGTGTATCTAGGGCAGTGATTCCTAACCTTTCCAATACTGCTACCCCTGTAACCTATTAGGAAAACAGATTTTTTCCCCGACTTCAAAATGTTATCATCAGTCCAAGAAATTCCAATTTGGCCGCTACATCTTCGTCTCCAATAATGTCGTCATCAGGAAAAAATCTCGCCCCGCTTCCCACACTCTGCACCCAGCGGGCTCGCTAGCAAGAAGGAGCGCATGCTCTATTTAGTAGTATTATTATATAGTGTTTTCTTATTATTTAGGTTTGACCAAATAATTAGGTTCTTTGTTACCCCCGAAGTATGGCTGATTTACCCCCGGAGGGGTAATTACCCCCAGGTTCGGAACCCCGGATCTAGGGTATTTAATATCGTTGCTTGGGGGCTTCAATTAATTTCAAAGTGTCGAAGTATTAAATTACACTATGGTATGTGATGAGAGTGATATTCATTCATACTGTTTATTTATCTATAATTACTAGAGATGCAGCAAAATTCGTTTTATATTCGGTATTACTAGGGCTGCCATCCGTCCGGGTTTCCCCGGATTTGTCCTAGTTTACGGGGCGTCCGGGGAGCGTCCGGGCGGGGTTTTATTTGTAGTCCGGGTTTAAAAATTTACGGCAACGCATGAGTGGCCCTTGGTGCTGCAAGTGCCCGTGGGCAGCAGTGACCACTTATTTATTATGAGGTAGACCGCTAGCTCTTTCACGTAGACCACATAAAAAAGTTGATTTGTGACATTTTTAACTGTTTTTTTATTTGTCTGTCCGGGTTCTGGGCTTCAAAATCCGGGGTTATCACGCGTCTTATCCTGGTTGCCACATTTTAGAGATGGCAGCCCTAGGTATTACCAAATTTCGTTTCATTTACGGCATGACCCATATCCGGTGCAACACTAATAATTACAAAATACAATGTTAAACTACATTTTGTCTAAGTTCTGCCGCAAGCCGCAACCCGGAACAGATACGCCGTGAAGTTACGTGTGTTCAGCTCTAAACATCAGATGTTTATAACAGGATAATAGATATCCGTTTCGTTTAACGTTTAAGATCATTCACTACTGAACATTGTAAGATCTTTAATAAACATAATGTGCATTGTTAATAGCGTCAAATATAACAAAATCTTTATTCGAAACAAATGAAACAATACATTTCTTTGACCTGCAATGTTTGCTATACATACAAACTGTGAAAACATTTTTATTTTTACCTGCAATGCAACGACCCTCATGAGCAGATGTGAGAGGAAAAACCAATGAGAATATACACACACACCTTTATGCTACCCACGTGGAAGTAACTACATGTGTGGATTAGAAGACAAACGATATGTAAATTAATTGCATGCAATCAGTATTCTTATGACGGCATTGCTGCCTACATAATATACCTATGTACCTACATACTTATGTAAAATAATGACGTGGAACATCGAAAAAATATTCTAAAAACCTACCTAAATGTCTTTAATTTTTTATATAAGTTTTTATAGTGATATCATGGAGCCTGATTTTTAAGTAAAAGTTTTGATTGGATTGATCTAACGCATCGCCGACTGTCGCCGCCAATGGTTTCGAATTTTTCGCGAATTTAATAAATAGGTATATTATGTCAAACCTGTGTTAAACAAATGTCGAAAATATTTAGTTCGAAATCGAAATTATTTTTGTAGAAAAAGGCAATTAGACACTAGTATTTCCGAACAAAGAGGAGGCTAAGTTAATTATCTAACTTTGAACTCTTTTGCTATTCCTAAATGTAGGTGGATCGTTTTCATTAAATAGGGTAAAACACCCGGTAGTCAGCCGTGCCAAGAGTGGTAAAGTCATTTCATCAAGGGGACACAAAAATGATGTATGAAAATACATATAAAAATAATTTTCTATGCCAAACAAACATGCAAAAATAAGTGATAGGCAAACTACCAGCCACGCTATGGCAGACCTGCGGAGATATGAGACTGAGCACTAGGGAAGTGTCATAATTTGTGTGTTGTTGTTATTTCCAATAATTATAATAGAATCGATGATATTTTGCTAATTCTTTTAAATTTAAAAAATTGCCCACTCTGAAACACAATATTGTTTTCATTCAGTGTTTATTTAATATTGAAAATACTAATGAACGAAGTTTTGTTCTTTACTAAAAGGCTGACTACTGGGTGTTTTACCCTAGTTGGCATCAAAGAGATTTGTGCCACATGTGCTGCATTCACACTTTTCTTTATCATTTATTGAAGGGAATAAATAGCAAGCACGGGTCTAAATTTTTTTTGTTCAGAAATAATTATGAGTAGCTGTAAAATTTCTTTAGATTTTTAAATAAAGCAGTTTAATATATATATAATAATCCTAATAAAATTCATTGTTTTAATTTATTGCTTTCGGTGATCCCTATCATTATATCTAGTCGGGAAAGACATAACGTCACATGAACGCATTTCTTTAGATTAGAAGGGGATAGCGAGAGAAGCCCCAAATCATTCAAATACCGGTATAATTTGCAATGCACGTTAACGTGAATATAATTAATAATAAACGATATAAGATTTTTATTCATTGGTGAACAACCGTTATAATTTGGGTGGTTATTTTATTTAGCCCTTCTCATTTCACCGACAAGGCAGGTACAAATAAATTACCACACTGGGAAGCCGGGAACCATCTGGATCGATACCTAACCTATAATCTAAAACCTAAGTACTAAATTTAAAGCCAGCAAAGTAACTATTTATATAGGTACCTGAAAGTTTTATCTAATCAATATTTTGAGTTCACTTAAAATTATTCAACTAGTTAACTAAAAGACAATAAATTCACCATGCAATAGGGTCGTTAATAAATAATACCATGCCAAATCGACAACGTATTAATCAACAACTATTAAAATACTTGAAAAGTTAATCATTACGTGTAATGATTTTTTTAAGAAAGGTATTGTGTGGTAGTTACCTAAATAAATTTTTATTACTCACCGTCTAATTTTACACTGAAATAAATAGGTAATCACACTTAAACACACCGTAAAATAAATACGACACTAAATTAAATATATAATTAAAAAAAAACTAACAACTTAACCTATTAAAATCTAAAGTTTACTATAATACGAAAATTGTAAGAGTCGAGAAAGGCTGAGACCCAACACCGGCAAGCGCAGAAACCCGACTGATGCGACCTCATGCGGCGTTTCTCAAAATAAATTCAATGGACGAGGAACGTTCCGTTTGCAAATGGTTTCATTCATAAAATACTCAAGAAAATATTTTTTTATTATGTATTAAGTACCTCGTTATTAATAACAAGCAATCACTTATCACATCTATTATATGCTTATATTTATAAGGTACATTAGTTAATGTAGATATTTTACGTTCCCAAATACATAGTGCTAAGCATGGTAGGGTTTATCGTAACATCGTGCAGAATCAAATTTTACTATATAGATAAATCTAATAAAATAAATTATTCGAATTCATTGAATTACATATCATTGGTTTACGAAGTCAACTTGTCTACGAAGTGGTGAATCACTTTTAAACTTTGGCAAATTATCAAGTTTTAAATAGCAATTGGCGCCTTCTTGTCATCAACATCCGACGCGAGACGTTGTTTCATTGGCTAATCAAAGACGTGCCCCCAAAGGGCGTTTGTAAAGACGCTTTCAATTTAGTTTGCAAATACAATCGAAACAATGAACAAAATTTACTGGACATAAAAATCATTACGTTAATACGTTATGATTTTTATGATATGATTTTTACTGTAACGTCATAGTTATCATTGTAACATAAAACAATTGTTAATAATTTGTAGATGTAAAACTCGTTAAAATAAGTATTATTGAAACTACCCACAAAATTTACATTTCTGAAAAAAAAATATTAACCGTCACTTTATTGAAATTAATATGCCCTAACTTTCGGGAACGGTTAGGCATAGGTGAAGTTATTCTGGTAAATTACATTATTATCACAGAAGATATTTAAATTGTAGCAATTATGTACATTATTGAAACTATTTACATTTGATATAATAATATACTTAAAAAATAATCAATTTATTGATAAATTAAACAATATTGAATTTAGTATGGCATCAAGCAACTTTTTAACTGTGAAAACTCATTTATCAGAATTTAAAAATAATTCGGACAGAGATACACTGAGCGAGGTAAGTTTTTCTAATTATCTTTTTAAAAATGTTCTATGACCATTGAGACATGCATTTCCACATAGCTTTCCGCCATATTGGCCTTCTAATAACGTGGTGGTGCTTATCTTTTATTATACCTAGTTTAATCCCTACTTTTTTCATAAAAATTACAAAAAGGATAATAAATGGGCAACATTAATTTTATTACTGAGATACATTATACTACTTAATTACTTCTAGGCCTCTGAAAGTGGAACCAGTAATTCCGTGACGTCAGCAGAAGAACTTCAAAAACTTGCTTTGATCCTTGGTTTAAACAGTGCTGAAGATGTTTATCAAGAAAGATTTCGCGTTGACAGGCGACGATTGGAAGCTATGCTTGCGGGTAAATTTTATAAACATATTTTTATAATGATTTTCAAAGTGATTACATAAACTTTAAAAATCTTAAATATTCATACCTTCACCATAAAAAATAATTCATTTCTATTCTACAGAAAATCTGGAAGAATCACAAACTGCCCAGGCTTTCTTCCATCGGGTATGATTAATTTTACTACTGTTAATAATAATAACACGAAATGTATGTATGCATAAATATTTAGCAGTTATATGTTTAAAAACATTCTAATTACACTTGCTAAATTCCTGCAGGTAATGAACGAAACGAATACTTTAATAAATTGGCCCGCACGTCTCAAAATAGGAGCACGCTCTAAAAAAGGTAAACTGATCTCTATATTAACATTTTGATTCATAAGAAACTTCAATATTTTTTGTGCTTATTTATTAACAGTCTTTGGCAAAAATTCAAAATTTGATCACATTTTAATTTAATGTTAAGTTTCTTTTTTACATTGCGAGAAACGGAACACAAAAAAAAATTGGCGGGCTGGCGCGATGGCGCCACGAAGACTCCCAATAGTGGCGCCGGACTGGCGCGCTCTTTCCAAAATTTTATTTAGTTCGCGTACTCCGTTAATCCGTTACATGTAGCTGAAGGTTTTTTTTATTGTTTTATTGATATTTGTATAATTTAATGAATTAACAATGGTTTTAACACATAATGACGATGAATTAGTATACGATATAATTAAAAAAATGAGGTTTAATAAGTTTAACAATTTAGATTTCCCTTGTGGTAAGTTTTTACCTTTTAAATTTGTTTTTGTTAAGTGTTTCGATAGGAGTGTAGATTTCAAATGTTTTTTGCCTAGATCCTCATGTGAGAGTCGCTGGTCGGCCTGATGATGTTAAGCTGGCACGGGAGAAAATAATGCAGTTACTGGACACAAGGGTAAGTTTTTAACGAAGAATGACTGAGAAGCAGACTGATATTGTTTATAAATTTAATAAAATACTATTACTGTACAAAGTTCTAGTTAGTAATATATTTTTTTAACTTTATTTAATTGGCTATGTTAGATGAGTAAGTTGATACGTACCACATTTGTAACTGAATTCTATTTGAATACTGTACTTCGGCGAGTGACCTAATTATCCTTTACTTTAAATATATTCTTACTTATTTTGTGGCTGATCATGCTTACCTTCTTTACTATACTTAAATTATGCAAAAAAGTTATAGGGTATTCTTAGTACGTTCTTAATTTTAAGAGACCACGAAAATAATATAGATTTTGTTATAAATTAAGGAATTTCCCTTGAAAAGCAAGGAATTTCATTAATCATTATTTACAGCCCTTCTCAGAGGCGTCATTTAATTTTAAATTTGATTAAATCTATTTATGTCGCTATAACAGAGCAAACATACACGTGACTTTAAATTGTAATGAAATTAAATCATTTTTAGTCTCAGAGTACGACTGTTACTGGTAATTGACTTTGATCAATACATAAGGTATGTTACAAAATCACCATTTGTCATTGTCAATCACAGAAAATCGGTACCTAACCTACCTAACTAGAAACTTCTTTTTAATATGGTAGGCTTAACAATTAAAAAACAACTCCTGGTGTAATGAGCTTGCATGGAGTCAAAGATCAAAGATAGCTGGTATGCCTTTAAATACCGACTTAACTAAGTTCGGACTTCACTGACATGTCGGGAGAATCTAGGCGAGTCCAGTCTACCTACCTGGGGGCCAATTGCCTAACGGGATTGCTTTGAAAACGCTATCGCTTAAGATTGCATTTTGTTATTTCTGACCGCCGAATGGTTTTTAAATACCTCACGCTCATTTTCTTTAATATTGTTATTAACAATGCAAAAGAAAAAAAAAGAGCGCGAGGCATTTGAAAACCTCAGGCGGCTAGAAATAACAAAATGAAATCGTAAGCGATAGCGTTTTCCAAAGCAATCCCGTTAGGCGATGGCCCCCTGGTATGGAACCTTCAACTTCACGGGGCAGGGGCTTCAAGTTCAAGTCGGCAGGCCAGATGAAAATGCCTGGAACGACACTTTCACGCTTTTTTTATAGCCAAGTAGGCAAATGACTCTACCACACCTAATGTTAAGTGGTGATAAAGTCCAAACGCGAAGATAGCTGGTACAGCAGTTCTAAACTGCCACACCACCACCACGGCCTGCAAAGTGCTTCTTCACGCCTCTCTTAAAGGACCCCAGATTGTGGGAAGGAGGAAACACATGCGCTGGGAAAGAATTCCACTTACGAATAGTACGACAAAGAAATGAGTCACCAAATTGCTTTGTTACGATTTTCTGCCGCACCTTAGCATTATCATAAACATAACATACAGGGAGATCACTTTCTGTGTTCTGCGTTGTAGTGGGTGCAGCGATGAGAGTAATTAGCTAGACGTTGTATAAAAAAACGAGGTCGCTCGCTAGGTGGCGAGTAGGGAATGCAATCTCGCGAGATTGGGGCTCAGACGAGATCTCGCGAGTTTATGGATAACAATACCGCGAGATCTCGCCAATTTCGAGATCTCGCGAGATTTTTGCAAATATTTACGATATTTGGATGAATTAGGAAAAAATGAAGAAGAATTAGAGGTATCATGAAATAAACATTTATTTAGAAGCATTTTTAATATAAACTTAGGTCATATTTAAAATTTTTAGACATATCTATCATTTTTCGTAATAAACTTTTAAGTAGTTAACTTTGACGTACGTACTACGTACGTATCTAATCAAATAAAAAACGAAATAAAAAAGAATCTTCTCTTCTTACATGAAACAAAAGTATTTTAATAATTAAACAATACTTTTATAACAAATAATGACAAATAACAAATAATGAGTTGAATATTAAACTAAGTTTCTAAGATATCAAATAAAGAAAACTATGCCTACTCTACTCAGTCAGACAGAGATCAATTGTAAATTAGAGATCAATTAAAAATATATACCAATCAAATGAAAGGCTCAGACAATCAGTTGATCAGTTCACATCACATTATATCGAATGATTTTGGAAGTAGCTCCTTAAGAAGCATAAAATGTCCAGAGAATCGTCTGCTAGACGGCTTCTTATTTTGCTGGCCAGATAACCAGCCGCAGAAAAAGCCCTTTCGGATTCTACGCTCGTGGGAACAACAGATCTCAGGCAGTTATCCGCGAACTGTAAAAGTTCGCCTTTTGACCCCCCGGATTCGTATAAATTCATCTCCTTTTTTATTAATGATTCCAGTGAGTTTGTAGTAAGCTTTCTGTCCCTATCTCTTGGTTCTTTGAACGCAGTCAATGTTTCTTGTAGTTCTTCTTCCAAGGAAATATTTTTACGAGCCTCAGAAAGAGATGAAAGCGGTTCATTATCGTTATAGTCATCATCAAATTCAATAACATCACTAGCGGCGGCAGCTGATGTTGATGCGATCGACCATGATGGATCTGAATTTATCTGTGTCTGTGAATTAGTAACACAGTGTTGCGAATGCAAGCGCTCTATAAGTGATTTAATTTCAGTTCGAATCACGTTTTTCGCAGGTAATTTAAAGGTTCCGTCTTTCGCAAACTCTTCTTTATCTGCTTGGTATTTAGCCGGATCTCTGATATATAACAAGCATGCTGTCAAATTCGTTCGTCGCTCAATAATGCGCTTTCTCAAGGAGCCAGCGAGTTTTTCTGCCAATGGAGTTTTTAGCTCTTCCAGTTTACGAATCATAAACCTAAGTGTTGTTTCTGCGATAGCCAAGTCAGTATCTCGACGACACAATACCTCCACAGCCAGTTTTACAGGTTGAAATGCCTTATCTAAGTTCACTAAAACCGTATGTTCTTCCGCACTCAAGGAGTAGTTCGGATCAGCTTCCAGGCCCAGGTCGATCAAGGCTTTGCTGACACACAGCTTGATTCTATTAAATGTAGAAATCATGTCTGCTAGGCTTGACCATCGAGTTTTACAATCCTGTTGCAACTTTATATCTTTTCCAAATTCTTGCTTTACATATATTTGCAATGTATCAGTTTTAGTAGGTGATCTTTTAAACAGTTTAACCAGTTTCCTAACTTTCTCAATAATACCCGCATATTCAGCAACTAGGTCTACTTCCATTCTGGGTATAGAACAATGAAAAACGTCATCGTCTGAGTCTGTGCTAGATACTTCATCCATTTCAAAAGAAACCTCATTGTCGTTTTCAGATTCTGTCACAGTCACAGGTTCCTCTTCCTCAACATCAGTTTGTTTTTTATAAATTGTATCTATTATGCCAAGTTGAACTCCATGAGCATAGCAGAGCTGATGTGAAGGTGATATTAATCGACCCAACTTTTTCATCACACTTGCCCCATCTGTAGTAATATTGATGATATCTTTCTCCAGAATAAGGCCAAATTCGGTTAATTTTGTTTTCAAAATACTGACACCATTTTCAGCCGGCATACTTCCAAAGACGCGAATCAGCCCCAAGTTCCAAAAGACAGCTTTGCCTTTCAAATATGTGTGTACATTTACATTCATGTATCGCTTGTTCATAGAAGAAGTCCACTCATCAAATGTAAGCGTAAATTTGTGATCATCCTCCTTCAGCTGAGCCAGTTCACGCTTTATTTTCATTTTTAATGTCATGCCATAATCCATAACTATAAGTTTAATTGTGTTTGGGGACTTAGGCAGTTTGTGTCCCGAAGAATTGAAGAGATCTCTCATATCTTTGGAGGTACAGAAAACACGGAAAGGTAGTCCATCTTTAGCTACCATTCTTGATACTTTTTTCTCCATAGAAGTATCTTCAACCGGGAGAAAGTGATCAGTAATTTTTTGCCTCTTCTTTCTTGCTGGTAGCTCTAGTGCAGACGATTCTAGACTAACATTCGACCCAGTATTTGATGATGGTGGCGGCAACGGCGGTGGTGATATAATTTGCACCTCGCTCTCTTCTACGGTAGAAGCAGAGGACGAAGAATGCACATTCTTCGTGTCAATTTTGTGAGTCGATTTTAAATGCACATGTAAGCCACGCGGAGATCGATCTTTGGTTTTAAGAATCTTTTTACAAAGTTTGCACTTAGCACTCAACCCATTTTCCGCTCTTAAAAAGTGTTTCCATACTTCCGACACACTCACATAGTCTTTATAAACTATATCCGCTGACATCGTTCGTTATTCTACTCACAAATCACATAAAAAACTTTTGTTTACATAAATAACCACAAAAATACTCGGACGCAATCAGTAAACAAATGCACGCCACACGCCGCCGGCTCAACTGTCATTTCAACCAATCGCAGCACGTAACGTAACAAAATCTGAGCGAGACCTCGTCCCGCGACCGCTACCTCAGGCCGCCATCACCCGCGCCGCCGAAACAGATCGCAGCTTCGTGTCAATTCGTGACATTTCGCGCGCTGTCGCGCTTCGAATTTATGTTCAAGTGCAATCTCGTTAAGCTCGCGAGATCTCGCTCATTTTTCGGCCGAGATTAATCTCGCTAAAATAAGCCGAGATCTCGCGAGAACGAGATCTCGCGAGAACGAGATTGCATTCCCTAGTGGCGAGTTCGATTCCCGTCTCATATATAATCGCTATTTTATTACATAAAGCTTAGTACTAAATGAAAGAATGAATGAATGAATATGTACTTACTTTTTATCGTATACAGAACTAACATAAGGTTGTTTCTAATACGCAGAGTAACCGTGTTACGATGAAGATCGATGTCAGCTATACGGATCATTCGCATATTATCGGAAAGGTAAGAAACGTTTTGCAGAATTATCTTTATATATTTCAGACAGGTACTAGTTATGTAAAGAATGTTCATATTTTGCATCCCAGAAAAAAAGTTAAATTTCAATATATAATCCTGAAATAACTATTTGGAGCTCCCACTTCTCTGCTACTAGTCTGCGTAATTTGAGTAGAACTGATTATCTATACAATATACAAATTATCATATTCTCCTGTTACACCCGTTTTACTTTTATTTTCGGTGTATATCCGTTTGTACGGAAACCGATGTCGGCACGCTTTCACCTAATAGATAAAAGCCAAAAGTGTGATTTTTTGACGCTGAGTAAAAATTAGTACTCTTATATATTTCGGCACTGTTGCTTGCAAGAGTCGCCACTCTTGCAAGCCTCTGATGTTTCGCCAAACATCGGACACTCGTTGCAAACTAGGTACATGGTAACAATCCCGTAAATAACATAAATTACTAGAGTCTGTGCGGAAAGACAAAGGGCGTGGCGTAAAACTGAACTAACATTAAGATTTTTATTTGGCAATCAAACCCAGCAATCTGTAAATTGCCAAAGTTTTGTATTGATACGGATTTATTTGTTTTTGTGATTTCTTGCGGTTTTTTGTATTTAATCATGTCTAAAAGAGGTAAAACCTTACATCTACGGTAGAAAAGTACTACAGCGCCCTCCAATCTAAATCCCATTCTCTTCCCGCACAGACTCTATATTGTTAGTGATCTTATAGTTCAAAATAATACATAACAGGGCGGTCTTACGATCAAATGCGTGATGGAGGAGACTGGATGTCACATACACTTTCCGGACTCGAACCGCACCAGCACCGTGGAGAAGAGCAACCAGGTTTCTATTGCGGGCGATATGGAACGCGTGGAACGCGCCAGAGCACGCGTAAGGGTATGTGTCACCATGATTTTTAAAGTTTTACCTACAACCAAGCCGTCTTTCCCAGTGGGCACTTTGGGCAAGTGCCCCGGGCCCCGCGATCAATAGGGGCCTCCCTCAGATCAAATACAAAGTCCCTAGTGCGTAGGGGCCCCATTATCCTAATATGCCCAGGGCCTCCAATAGGTGAAAGACGGCACTGCCTACAACGTAAATAAATTAAGATTTCCGTGGTTTTACCCGACTGTGAAATAAAAAAAGGGTTGTTTCTTCTTTAGATGTAAATTTTACATGTTGGACTGTTTTTGTGACAGTGTTTTAGGAAAATTGAAATGTATTCGATGCCGAAAAAATACAAACTAAAAATACTAACCACATTAATGTCAATAAAAAATAGGTACTTGGGTGACAGAGCTTTGCTCATGAAATCAATACCGATTTTTTTTTCACGAGAAGACTTAAGGGCTCCCACACAAAACTGCGATGCGATGCGAATTCGCAGTTATATGTGGGAATCATAAATCTTTAATATGATTTAGACAAGGATTTCATCCATATCATTAAAGCTGTTTCTGAATTATACCTTCGCAAAAGATGATACTAGAAATTCTCACTTAAACTAATTTATTATAGGTAGTGATTAAAATTGGTTATGAAACATCCAAAGCAGGCGAGATTATAGTCTAATTTATTTTTGAAACATTGCTCTTTACAAGTATTCAGGCGTAAAGTGTTTGTGTGTAATTCACGTAGGCGCTCACGCCGCTGGTGTTTTGCTTCGAGCTGCCGATCGTGGCGCCATCGCAGCGATTACCAGACATCAATTCACCGTACGTGCAACAAATTCAGGAGCAGTACAACGTCCAGGTATAATAATATTCATGTATAAGATTTCATTTCATTCTGTAAAAGATTAGACATACTTTAAGGCCCATCTAAATCCATGCTTGCTATAAGAAGCGTAGCAGCAAATTCTAGATCCGTTATGAGAATATTATAATTGCTGGAGGTCTATAACATCTGCATTAAAGGAAAATTTTGCTGCTTGGTTAGGTACTTTATACCCTAGATGCAGATACTTACATAAAAAGGGTAAATTTTAAAAATCAATACAACCTACTACTTAACTAATAAAAACTGAAAAGAAAAAAATAAGTCCAGAGGTCTATAATTCTGTTAAGTAAGGAACAAAGCTACTTTAACAGTCGGGACCCATTATTGAAAAATTTGATCCATTCTTTTAATATTTAATATTGTACACAGGTGATGCTTCGCAACCGGCCGAAACTGCACGCCAACTTGCTGGTCGTCAAAGGCGTGCAGTGGGAGGTGAAGGCTACTATGGAGGCCACCAGTCTGCTCATGAATTATATGTGCGGTCCACTAGCAGTAAGTAATAAATTCAATTTCATCCATACCAAAACCAACCAGTTGATTTAAACGTAGTTTGGATTTCCTAAAATATTGAAGAAGTAACCGATATTCAATTGTTAGGCATAGGTAACCATCGACTCACATCCGAACTGGAAACCTCACACAGATAAAAGCAATAAAAACGTTTCGCAATTTATCTTCGCGCTTAGCGTTTTGAACGCCAATACGAATGCAAAATGTGCCTTGTCCGTTGTATGGAATAATATTATGATATTTGGCATAGAAAGGACGGATTTAATGATTAAATAAAAATCCTGTGAACGAAGAAGAGGCATTTAGTTTAGTTATGAGTGTTTATTAAATATAATACTGAAATACCAACAGTTATCTTTTATTGATGTTGGCGATAGAAGAAAATAGAATACTTTACTGAGCAAATGAATGGGGATAAGCATCACACCTCGTTCTCGCCAAAGTTCAAAGTTTGCTCATAAACTAGATGTGCGGTCCGCTAGCAGTATAATGCGATTCAAATAAGAATAGGACCGACTAGGCGCCATATTGTAATGTCATAGCTGTCAATTCAAACCAAATAGGTAGAGTGAGCAAAAGAAAGTTTTTATTTAATAAAACTTATTTACTACGATTATGTGAGAAAAAACATCGGATATTTTTTTTTTTCTATTTTTAATAATATTTATTTAATAAGACTTTGTGAGAAAAAACATTAATCAGAATCTAGCTTTTCAATTCCGCTCATCTCTGCATTACTGCCGTAGTATTTATGAATAATCATGCACTATTACAAGGTCACATACGAACATGCAGCCTTTATGTAAACGAAAGTTTTAAATCGAGTTTATGAACGCAACTTAAAGTAACATTTGGTTGACGATTTAGGTTATCAACCAATCATAGCCATAGCTCAATAAATGAAAAAAAAAAATATCAAACAATATTAGTTATCAATATTTGTTATTGTTTGTTTACAAATGTTTCGATTTTATTCTAGAATTAGCAGAGTGCTAAAATAGGGTTCCAAGATTTTTATGCAAACCGTACTTTTCAAGCGACATTTGACAGATGGATTCTTATTTGAATCGCACTATAAGTATCAATCTCTTTGTATTCAAAACTTTCAAATTTCTTCTTCAAATACCAAATCGTTAAGGCTACTATGGAGGATGGTGATTTTAGTGCGATCGTAAAATTGAAAGCATGAGACGTGGGCGAGGCTTTTTTACCCGACTGCGCAATGCAAGAGCGTGAAGCGCGACGACGCGCAGACATGGTATAGTGTTTAACAGTCTATATATGTATGTTTGTTCCTTTGTGGCACACTAGAGACCAAACGCGTGGACCGTTTTTGATGATTTTTCCTTCATGCCTAAAATAAAACGCTTCTCCTCTTCTTCTCTTTCGTTACAATAACAGGAAACTATTTTGTTTTTATAAGAGGTCATTACCTACTGGGTATATTTGTATGATACATGTTGGTAATGTAAATTAGGTATATAGGTACCTATTTAGTCAATAGCTGTATAAAGTGCACAATAACATGATGATGGCGGTGGAACCGCAACAATCCGAGGTCTGTTTTTATTAAAATGTACCGTCTTACGTTTAATTTATTTTTACTTCGTTGTGAAGATAATTTATTATTACACTGAAACTCAAAATAAGAGCTCGATGACATTTTACTATTGCTGCTAAGGATAATCGAAGAATTTGACGACCTCCGTGGCCGAGTGGTTTGTACGCCATTTTTCATGGTGTCGCCAACACGATGGTCCCGGGTTCGAATCCCGAATAGCCTATAGACGCTTGCGATAAAACAAATATCACTCGCGCCGTTACCTACCCTGACTTAACCCCTACACCGTGGAGCTCTGGAACATTACTCATCGACAACACAACACCACCAAAACATACTGTAACGCCCGTAGCGTTACGGCCTCCTTGCTTGTGTAAACTCTTTGCTTATGTAATGCCTACTGCTGGCAGTTATATTAAAAAGTAAATGTCATTATTTGAAAGAATTGAATACGGGAAGCTTTTGTCTCTTATCAAAGATTCCAGCAGATAGAATTGAGGCACGAAAGCGAGTAGTTGATAGTACGGATTTATTGTAATTCTCTCCCATTTTGAAATAAGTAAATCAATCAATAATAATTCGTGGTTATTATTCAGAATTGAACAACGCTGCGCTCCCAGGCCTATCCCTTCAGGATAGAGTACCACAGTACCTAGTTTTATTTTACTGTGGTCTTCCGTAAGTACTTCCCTAGACGGGCGCTCCAATGCGAGCGGAAAATCCGCAGTGCCTTACCTCTCCTAATAGGGTATCTGAGGACTCCCCCCGCTCTATCACCCAGCTCAAAGTTCGGTGAAATGAGCAGGGGCCTACCTACAGAACACAGGGTGAAGGTAGAAGGGTGATCATAGACCGTTTGCACGGGAACCGATGATGTCGCCAACTCGCCCTTACTACACTTCCAACTTATAGATAATAGAAAATCAAACGACGCGACATCAAACAATCAAACCAATCAGTGCATTCGGGTTGGTTGGTATGTAAGTACGGGGCACACATAATACAAGAGACTGGCCAGGAACCTGCCGGTGAACCCACCTACGAGTAAGCTTTAATAGAGTATAAAACAAAGAACACAGAATGAGGTTAGAAAGGTGATCAGAACATAAACCGATGTCGCCGGCTCGCACCCACTACACTTGCACCTAATAGATAATAGCCAATCAAACGACGCGACATCAAACAATCAAACCAATCAGCGCGCACACCCGGTAGCAACGACGCAATCAGAACCTAGTTTTGGTCAAGTTGTGAGCATTTGCTCATACGTAACTGTGGCCGCCTGCCCCGTCCACAAATCAATCTGTGTTATAAACAATATATAATATTCTTGAGACATCACGGACCAGTGCCCTCCCATCCCAGTATTGAATTTGCCTGAACTGAAAATGAGCCAACTTTAGTATGTTTCGTGAATTTTGCGAATCATTGTGGATATTTCGTATAACAGCGTGGTTAACCCCATCTTTCTGGTCATTATAATGTTGGTATATTATTAAGTTTTAATAAATTTCCTATTTTTTTAAATTTAGTTCCTAGCTTTATTTCCTGAATTCTCTTGTCTTACTAAAATCGAGTAAGTATTTTGTTAATTTCTGTGTTTGTATTGAGTCAAAAGCAAGTGAAGTGCAGAACGCATTTAACTTATTACGATAGTAATACAAACTGATATTTAGAACTGCAAATAATGAAAACGACTATGGAAACTAATTTTGTCCTATCCCAAAGTGCCCGAGTTCAGTGTTTGCCTTCACCCAAAAATCTAATCACACAATCCGCCTAAAAAACGCTTTCACAAAAAAAGCTTTCAATTTCCGTCCGTCAGAGTCAAACGGAAGTGCAAATGTCCGTGGAGATATCGCTGATGCACCACGCGGTGGTGATGGGGCGCGGCGCGGTGCAGATCAAGCTTCCCAAAAATGCACAAACTACCTAAAAATTTTCACTTGAAAAAAACTTCGTTCTCCGTTCGAGAGAGTCAAACGCCAATGCAACTACCATTCCAAAATACTCACATTCATATAGTATTTTTAAGTTTATGTCTTCGAAGTAAAGACTTCGTTATCCGTTCGTCAGAATCAAACGTAATCTGTAGATTTCCCTTGGGATATCGCCTTTTTTTATACTTGGGGAAATCCATCATGGATACCCCCCGCCGAGAGGGAGACAAGGGGTTATGCCGGACTCCTACCGACTAAAACCCAAGATGTTCCTTCACGCATATGGGCGAGTAAAACACTGAGATCTGGCGTTACCAATTTCTACCACGGGCCCGCTCTGCGATGTCCTTGCGGACCCACCCCTCTTTAAAGGAGCTGAAGCTCCCTCCCTCGGCGAGGGCGCGCCGGAACTTTGACGCGCCCGAACACCCTGAAAGCCCTAAACGAGCGACTGTAGTCCGCCCTACTGCCGCCTGGCTCTCACAGCAGGGTGGACCTGGGTTTATCCCTGGGTCCTCCGAGCTCTTCACGCAGTCACTAGCTTTCCGCGACCGCTACCTCCATTTCCTTCCCTTCATCGACTGATGGCTGGTGGGTTTTCCTCTTAGGCTTGAGATATCGCCTCCCCATCCCATCCCAAGTGTCTAAAAAGAATTCCATTAGAAACTGTTTTTCCATTTGTCAGAGTCAAACACAAGCTTAGAGCATATACCAACGTGCAAATGTCCCTTGAGACGACTCCGATGCACCACGCGGTAGCGTGGAGAGAAAAGGGTTTAGGTCAGGTCAAGTAACGGCGTGAGTCAAAGATTTAATCTTTGGCGTGAGTGATATTTTTGCAAGCGTCTATAGGCTATGGTCATGGTGGCCGAGAGGAAATAATCAAAGGGTGACTGTTTACCATCAGGCGGGTAAACGCTTATTTGCCCCCCTTTTGAGTAGAAAAACATACACACTTCTATATTGTATATGTATCTGAGTTTGACGGTAACGCGAGTTCAGTGTATTCCAATCCCTGAACTCCCTACCGCTACAAAAAAGGGTTTTCACTTCAAGGTTTCACATTAAAAAACAAACTAACTTCATTTTCCGTTCGTCAAAAGTCAAATTCGCAAGTGCAGATCACCCGGGATATATTTCCTCCTCCCATAGCATTCCACTAAATAAATTCATTCTCCGTCCGTTAGAGTCAAACGCAAGTGCAAATGTCCCTGGAGATATCGCCGATGCACCACTCGGTGGTGATGGGGCGCGGCGCGGAGCAGCTCAAGGTGATCATGAAGGGCACCGGCACGCAGATCATGTTCCCCGATGCCGACGACCCAAACATCCCTGCGCTCAAGAAGAGCTGCGTCACCATCACTGGCCAGATTAAGGATGTGTACGCCGCTAGGCAGCAACTAGTCGTGAGTATTCATACACAACTAGAGTTACCATTTAGGAATTTCAAAAGTCCTGACAAAAATCCTGACATTTTGGAAAAAGTCCGGACTTTTTAGTCACAGCATGGTACCATTACTCACTTAGTTACAATGGTATAGTATTTAAATCATTATGTACATTTATTATTCATATTCAATGTCATTTAAAAAATCCGGGCAAGGTCCGGACTATGGTCTAAAAGTCCGGACATGTCCTGACCAATCCGGACGGATGGTAACCCTATACACAACACACCACCAGCGTGGATCAATAATATTATTGGCTTATGACCATTATGAATTAAACACAAAATAAAAAGTCACAGGATGTTGAGCTTCCTCTACACCTTTCGTTTCGAGATGATGTTGTTAAATGATAGTTTGGTGATAAATTGATAACACCGCTTATGTTGAAACTGATATGTTTATAAGCACACGCGGTACATAATATGACGTCCGAAAGTGAACTGCTAATAAATTTAGACATATATAATAATTACCGATCTAGACATGCATAGGTACTAGGAACGAGCGTAACACGAGCGCGAACAAAAGTGAATCTCGGGCTGAGTCTCTAGGACACATTACTAACTTGTAATTGCTGTCTATGTCTATCGAAAATAGAAGCTGACTGAACATGCCGCTGAAACTTCGAATACACCAAATCTGTTATCGGTCAAACTATGCTAAGTCGGTATATCGGCCAAGTCTGGCCAAGATTGAATCAAAAAAATCAAACGATGTAAATCGGAACGTATGTAAAAGACAGCGCATGCTTGTACAACTCCCATTGTCTGAATCCTAAACTTATAAGTCCATGGTCCGAATACATTATAAAACGGTCTATCTGCGGAGTTTGCCCGATGACGTCCGAACATAGTTCGGCTGATAACGGATTTGGTGTATCCGAAGCCAAGGAATAGATATAAACAATGCAACACGGCAACATCACACATTTGTTGTTCTGATTGCCTACGATTCATACAAAATTGTGCACCTAGCACTTCAGTCACGGCTTCAGTATTATTTATTATAATTCTTTGAGCAAAGACCCTAGCTTTTTACTATATAAAATCGGAGGCGCAAAAAATCTATACAGAGCAGTTTTCTGTACCTATTGTTTATTGCCATAAAATTAGTTTAGTGCAAGTGGTATGACTCCCTTATAAAATAACCAGGTTATCTTAAGGGAGTTCAATCCCAGTCCCAGCACTAGTATCACTACATTATAATATAAGGTAGGTATCACTTTTTTATCACGCTCAATTGCTGAACCATTATGTATTTCTGTTACAAGTGATCAGCATAAATCAATACGCGGTGCTGATGCTAAGGGAGCTAGTTAAAATTGTAATCATTGTATAGTCACTAATTTATATAATAATAAAATGATAGGAAAGTGAAAACTGTACATTGGATTTTTAAAATATGATTCTTAAATAATACTTGGTTTGTGATATACATTCGATACCGAATCCAAAAATATAGTTTTTAGATTTTTTGTCTGTATGTCTGGGATAAACTCAAAAAGTACTGCATGGATTTACTTCAAATTTGGCACAAATATAATTAAGAAGTCGGGTCAACATATAGGCTGCATATTATCACGCTATCACCTACGGGGAACTCCACGCGTACGAAGTCGCGGGCGGCCGCTAGTTATATCTATAGTCACTAACTAATTTTATGATACAATTAATAGGGAAGCTTACCGCTGGTGGTGATCTTCGACGTGGCCGAGGACTCGTGCCGCATAGAGGCGGAGGCTGCCACCAAGCTGATGCAGAAGCACAACGTCTACATCAACATACGACGCAAGCCTAAACAGGGGATCGCATCCATCGTCATCAAGGGCATAGAGAGATGCGCCGGTAAGTTTAGGCGCTTTGCAGACGACGGGGCGGGGCGGGCTTTTTGTCCGCGAAGCAATAAAAACCGCGTCTGCCCGTCGATGTCTGCGGCTGCCCTCGCCGCGTACACAAAGCACACGAAGGGCAGAGGCAGTCAGTTCAGGACGTTCGTTCTAGTGAATATCACGTCAGTTAAAATGGAGATAGAGAGAATTCGAATCATTGCTTATTTCATGTAAAAAAAAAGGAAGAGTTGCAACCGTAATAGAGAATACTGGGTACACCCACTACTGGGTACCCCATCACTAAAAAGCCAGTGGCGCGGACTGAGCTGATCGCCCCGCGCCGCCGTCTGCGTTACTGCATATAAACTGGTTTGTATGATCCACGGCGGGCAGCCGCGGACATGCCGCGCCGCCACTGCCCGCCGGGCACCCAAGGCGCGGTCTTTTTGCCCTCTGTGTGCGTTTGTAGTATAGGATTCACTTTGTGCTATCGTTTGCGGCGAAATTGACCGGCCCGCTCCGCCCCGCCGTCTGCAAAGCGCCTTAAGAGGAGAGGCGGTCAAGGTTTTTTCCATACAAAGTTTCTCGACTGATTCCTCATTTTTATCACTAAAGAAATGATTTTCATACATCTATACTATTATATGAAGAGAGAAAAGGATCCACTGACAGACTGACTGAGTCATCAATGCACAGCCGAAACGGCTGGATCTAGAATGATGAAGTTTGGACAGTAGGTTCCTATTATTTGCCTAGACAAGTAATAAGATGGGATTTTTTTTAAATTCAGCCTCTTAAGCGTGAAATTTTCAAAAAACGTTTCAAGGTTGCAGCCGGCAAGTTTATGTCAGACTCTTACTGACTAAAAGCTTTATCTGAAGCAATCATCCCCTGAGAAGGGGATGATGCGGTATAACCGCCGATCTCTTCAAATGCAAGTGGTTTTACCCGCGAAGTTCCCGTTCCCTTGGTGTTCCGGGATAAAAAGATATTCAACCTATATGCTTAAAAGAAACTCTTTGCTACACAGAAAAATCAGGATGGCCATGCCCATGGTCAAATAGTTTTAATATACTCGACCTATTATTTACTTAGAAACTTTTTGCTAAGCTGAAAAATCAGGGTGGCCATGCCCCTGACCAAGTAGATTTCAGATATTCAAACTGTTTTCAGCAGATTCAGCTCTGATTTGTTATAATATCTCTTATCTATTAGACAAGTCCGTCCGTCCGTCCGTCCGTGGTGCTGTTTCAGCGGCCAAACCGTAAGAGATAGATATAGAGAAGGTTTAAGTTATAAGTTAAGAATAGTCTGATAAGACTACAAACCGGATATGAGTAACGTAGCACTTCCGGTTTTCGAGAAATCACGTGATTTCTATTTCAAACGAAACCACACAAAATCTCCGAAGTTCTCAATTAATTAAATACATTTTTTTTTTGGTGAACATTTGGTTCACTGGTTTGCTAGTCTCTTATCTATTAGACAAGTCCGTCCGTCCGTCCGTCCGTGGTGCTGTTTCAGCGGCCAAACCGTAAGAGATAGATAAAGAGAATGTGTAAGTTATAAGTTAAGAATAGTCTGATAAGACTACAAACCGGATTTGAGTAACGTAGCACTTCCGGTTTTCGAGAAATCACGTGATTTCTATTTCAAACGAAACCACACAAATTCTCAATTAATTGAATACATTATTTTTTTTTGGTGAACATTTGGTTCACTGGTTTGCTAGTATATATATAATATATAAGCCGTGACTGCATGTTTATTCCCCTGGATCGCATTCACGCCGAGCGGCTCGAATCGTCGACGACCAGGAGCTCTACTCTCTTTCTCCGAAACGAAATTTCGGCAACGAACGAATTTTAAACGAAATTCCGCCAGTGACTCTACAACACGTCGTGTAACACGTGTTATAAACAAAAATTAGATTTATTTGTAAATCTTTCTTACTAAAAAATGTTTCGCGCGCTAAGCAGCCTTAATTAAAAATACTCTAGTAGTAATTTTAGGTTTAATTTAAACAAAAATCCCAAAACGAAAATGAAAACAACACTTTTCATTTCGTCAATTTGAGGTTAAAATTTCGAACAATTATCTGTCAAATTCAACTTTTAGTTCGAAATTAGAGTAGGCTTAGAGAATTTAAGTGTCAAACTATTTTGGGACGAACGAATTTTCGAAATGAAATAGAAACAGAGTAGGGAACGTGCGAAATTTCGATCGAAATTTCGTTTTTCGTTGAAATAGAGTAGGCCTCCTGAACCTTTCCGATCAGCTTGATTCTTTGGCTCTGCGTATGAATGTAACTTTGCTCTGCATCTTATACCGCATTTATCACAGGAAGTGTTCCGAGGAATTGTTCGGATTTAAGTCCAGTTGCTACTTTTCGCCATTGTGCACCGCGACAAAAATTTCTCTAGTCCCATACAACAAAAGTGTCTTTTATTGCCGTTTTTGCTCGATATTATACCAAAGTGTCTAATAATCTATTAACAATTTTTGGTTAAACAAATTTTGGAAGGCCTCGCGAAATATAACCTTGCCCACATTAAGTTGAGATCTTGCGCCGCCACTGTCCATAAACATTAGTAAATAACTCGAGTTCGTTTTCTTAAACTGGTCAAATACCCTGTTGTGATACTATATCTCCCTATTCCCTACACACACACGCGCACGCACGCACGCACGCACGCACGCACGCATGCACGCACGCACGCGCGCGCACACACACACACAGAGTATTCTTTTTATAAGTACCAGCAGCTATAATAGTATGTCATAACTGTGTCATACCTATGTGATAGTTTGAAAGCTATGTAATCATTATCTATTGTGGAAAAAATAAACTATTATTATCTCCGTCAACTTTCCAGGCGACATATACGAGGCTCGTCGCGCACTGCTCGGAGGCAAGGAGCCAGTGATAACGGCAGAAGTCCCTGAATCCTACAACATCCCCGCCATCAGTACTGCAGTAGGCAGCTTCGGGGCCTTCAACCCCTTCTCCCCCCAACACTCCCTCGCCTCCCCTTGCTCCCCATATGTGGACGGATTCGTCGCCAGTCCTCTATTACCCCAGTCCTTCCCGAGTCCCCTTTCTCCCGCGTTAACTCCCCCCGCTTTTCCCTCGTGGCTTCTTCCTTCGCCCCCGCCGAGACATACGCAATTCCCTTACCCGATGCCGAGTCAGATGTATAAGAACCAACAGCCGGCTTGGAACCGTGAGTATTTACAAAACTCAAAATATCTTTATTCAAATTCGATAACAACAGTAAATCTTTTGAATAGTCCCAATTTTTTCCCCTACCACTGGTCATTATTTTTAAACTGCGGAGATAAACGAAAAAAAACTCCACAACATTAAAAGAATAATGTAACAACAGTTACAAATCATAATGTTGGTACAACGTCAATACAAAAAATTGACACTGACCAACCAGCCTATGAATGTCCTCGCTTTTACGGCACGAGCAATCTTATGAATGGCATAGAAGAACGGGTCATAGTCACTATCAACTGATTAATATTCTATTTGCTAGGACACAAGCCTTTTTGTGACCTTCCACATAAGCCTAGTGCAAATCTATGGGATTGTTACCATGTACCCTGTTTTTAGCGAGATTCCGATATTTCGGCTTTGTTGCAAGCGAAGCGCCATGATCACGGAGTAACCAGTTAACTGGAGAAGGTACATGGTAACAATCCCGTAAATAACTTATATTACTAAAATGTAAGTAATGATGAAAGTTTAAAATAATATACTGTCAAAACCGAATATAACGGCAGCGTTTATAACGACTTGTCGGTTATTATGACCAATTGGCAAGGTCCCGACCGAAACCCTAAATAAACCCTTAAGTAAAAAAAAACACCTATAACAACACCGGGTATAGCGAAATACCGCTTAAAACGACTTATAGCCAATGAATATTAATAAAGTTCATATCGATATTCATCGGCTATAACGACTAACCATTTTACTAATTGTTCCACCAAAACAAAAAATACTGTAAGTAGGTACTTCCATTTTTTCATAGTAAACTTATTACTTCTTTTTTCGATATTTTATACGAAAACAAGCATATATTCATTATCTATAACCATACTACATTTACATACATACATATGACAATAATATGATTACTTTTGTATATTGCTTAAAACAACTACCGGGCAAAACGTCCGAAGTTATATGGTCCCTTCAATGTCGTCATATCCGGTTTCCACTGTAGTATTATGTATTAGATAAAATAAAATCTTTATACGCAGCGATGGGGAACAATGTAGAGATGAATATGCAGCAGCCCATGATGATGCCTCAATACCAGCAGATGCCGGAAAGCAGACCTGTGAGTGAATTAAAATTTATTTTACGGATGACACACCAATTAAGGACCTATTTACTCCCTAACTGAGCAGATTCTAAAGAAAATATTACTAGAAAAAAATCCACGCGGACCAGGCAGCAGACGGGACTCCAACCTTCGCTATCTGGGCGAATGCACTGACCATTATGCTACCGCGGCCCTGATGACCGTGTCGAATTCTTTCTAGCCTTACCCACGTAGGTAACCCACAATGTGAAATGCCTTACAGCTTAGGAAAAAAGGTTAGGTTCCCGAGGGATTCTCAAAAAAACTAAATTAAACGCAAACAAAGTGGCGCCGAGCGGCCGCTAGTAACCTCATCATCATCAGCCTATTAATGTCCCTACAGCTGGGGCAGGGGCCTTCCCTATGGATGGAATAGGGAGATTGGACCATGACCCACCACGCGGGCCCAGTGCAGATTGGCGGGTGCTAACGATTGGAGATGCAGCAGCTTAACGTGCCTTCCGAAGCCCGGAGAAACTCGAGATAGAATGGTCACCCATCCAATGACCGACCACTGCGAAAGTTGCTTAACTTCAAAGATTGCAGCCAAACGCGCTAACCACCCGCGCCATCACTCCTCAGCAAGCTAAGCTCCTCAGTAACCTATACTATCTAATATTATTATGTACGTTTGTATGTACAGACAAGTGTGAGCCAACTGCTGAACTCCAGCTCGCAGGCCAGCAGCGGATACCAGAGCAACTTCACCGGCAGTTCAGTCTCATTGGACACGCAGAATATATCAGGTATACACCCCGTCAAACTTCTTGAGCAACGACCATAGACTAGGCACCAATTTTAAATACAAAAAAGTCTACTGGGCAAGTTTGTTTATTTAAAAAGGTTTCCGCCATTGCCTTATTAAATCAAGAAAAAAATTGCCTTATACCACATTAATTGTTAGTATGTATATAGGTATATATTTATGTTCAATTATATATATATATATATGTGGTATGTATGCGTATATATATATACAATATATATGTATATGTATGATAGACAATTACTTATATGTACGTATATTATATTAATTACATATTTACATTTCTCATCGACTCTGCTGGCTTACTACATCTTATTTTTCGTTTAGCTTACCTATACCGCGAAGGTTGTCTGGAAGAGATCGCTTGTAGCGATAAGACCGCCTTTGCCCGTATTATTGTTAAATGTATTCTTTGTACCTATGTCCTTTTGTATGTGAGCAATAAAGTGTATATTATTATTATTATTAAAGAGTGGCCTTAAGATTATCTCTGAATTCGATATTGAGAAGCAGAATATCTTATAAACATACCTACCCGGCGCCTCCACCATGTAAAAGCTTAACCTGAAGGGAAGCCCTGGGGGGTAGCTTTATAAGATAGATAATGATAACTAATTAGATTTTATATTTATTTTATTTGAATTCAAGGGGAATATAATCAGTGTTGCATAATAGATAACCGTTTGTTTTGGTGCCTGAATAGGGATGATGACTAATTTTTTTTTCTTCGTTTATCAGGTAGATTATCAAAAAGTATTGGACACGTATTTTTTCTTCTTTCACATAATATAAACATTGCAGAGATATATTGATTTGAAAAGTCGCGTCACGAGCCCCTACTCCCAAACTTTGACGCGCTATAACTTAGTCATTTTAAGGTTGATTGCCCAAAGAAAAAATACGGGTTCATTATTTTTTGATCATCTATCTGACGGACTAAATAGAATTTCGTTTACTGTACCCAGTCATCACCCCTATTCTATCTGCTGGAATCTTCTATCAAAGACAGAAGATTCCCAATTTCAAATCTTTAAAATAATGACATTAACTTTTAAATATAACTGCCAGCCGTAAGCTTTACATAAACAATGAGTTTACCCATTCAAAGAGGCCGTAACGCAACGGGCGTTACAGTACCTATCAATTGAAAGTGGCGACCAGGGGGCCAATCGCCTAACGGAAATGCTTTGGAAAACGCTAACGCTTACGATTTTATTTTGTTATTTCTAGCCGCCTGAGGTATTCAAATGCCTCGCGCTCTTTCTTTTTCTTTTGCATTGGTAATAACAATATTAAAAAAAATGAGCGTGAGGTATTCGAATACCTCAGGCGGCTAGAAATAACAAAATAAAATCGTAAGCGTTAGCGTTTCCCAAAGCATTTCCGTTAGGCGATTGGCCCCCAGCCTGTGATGCACTAAACTTCGCCTCATGCGACATACCCACATTCGTATTTTAATATCCTTACAGAACAGTTGCATAAATAACAACTAATTTTTTATAGAAACTGGCGATGCGATACCATTACAGAGCTGTCAAAATTCGTGCTTGGGCCTGTGTGCTTTAGTAGGGTACAACCTCTTTCTGTATCTCTTTCAAATTGATCTTCTACTGCATCAACAGAAGAGCTAGGGGAAAAATGCATGATAGAGTCTGTGCGGAAAGAGAATGGGATTTATATTGGAGGGCGCTGTAGTGCTTTTCTACCGTATTTGTAAGGTTTTACCCCTTTTAGACATGATTAAATACAAAAAAAAAAACCGCAAGAAATCACAACAACAAACAAATCTGTATCAATACAAAACTTTGACGTTTTACAGATTGCTGGGTTTGATTGCCAAATAAAAATCTTAATGTTAGTTCCGTTTTTCGCCACGCCCATTCTCTTACCGCACAGACTCTAAAAGTAAAACGGTTTGTTACTGAAACGTGTTTATGGTAGGATGTATTTTAAATAACGATTTTGGTTGCTTTCCAATTACAGAGCATAATGCGACTCAGTGCCGCACAATGCCGAATTATGCGGATGCTTAATTGGAACGTGAATTAGTTTTCAAATGCACCAGCAGAGTGCGCTAAGTTCAGTGTTGAATAAAAAGTCAATGTTTGTACCTTCATCCATATATATATTTAATTTTTAACACAGTTTGAATTAACTTTGATTATTTAAAAAAAAACTATGATGAAACGAGTTTTAATAATTTTTCAACAATAAATAATATTAGTAACGATAACATATAAATACCTAAAACATTTCGATCAATGCCAACTTAAAGAAAAAACACTTCTTAAATTTCTGTCTCTGAGTTGGAACGATTGCACGCATCACACGAAAGCATTACTTTTGAGAGTGCTCAATTGTGCGAAGCGTTACTGTAGTTGGAACACTCAACGTTAAGCATTATGCCGCATAATGCGCTATAATGCTGTAATTGGAATGCTACCAATTATGTGTATGCTCAAAGACATTATGACATATTATGATAGCTGTCTATTATATATAGGTGGTGACAATAGCAACGTGGTGTCGCCATCGGTTTCGCCCATCAGCAAGGCGCACTCCCCACAATCAGCCCGAGACCAAGGTAACTATAATTAACAACACGTCATTAACATTAAATTAAAAATTTATACTTCAATACTAGTTAGTGAGATTCCGACATGATTCTCTGAACTTAAAACTAAATTTAACAGCAGTTTCTCCTTATATTTTTTATTTCTTTAGCATTCAACTGCTAGAAGTTTAAATCTAAAGAAAATCCATATATATAAAACTCAAAGGTAACTGACTGACATAGTGATCTATCAACGCACAGCCCAAACCACTGGACGGATCGGGCTGAAATTTGGCATGCAGGTAGATGTTATGACGTAGGCATCCGCTAAGAAAGGATTTTGATCAATTCTACCCCCAAGGGGATAAAATAGGGAATGAAAATTTGTAAGAAACTTTGTCAATTTTAAACCGATCGGGCTGAGACTTTGCATGCAGGTATAAGAAGAATCATAGATGAATGTCATTGTGTATAATACAAGCCTGAGAACAAAAACTGTAGTCTACACTTCAGCTCTACACCGAAGCGAAGCGAGGGCGGGCCGCTAGTTTTACTATAAAAAGTTCCACGCGGACCGGGCAACAGACGGGAATCGAATCCGCACCCTCCAGTTTCTCCTTCTCATTCTCTATAAAGATGAATTCTTTAAAGAGAATGACAAGGATTCACTGTTGTCAAATTTAAAATAGTTTAGAAAATCATGCCAGAATCGACACCAATAATCAATTATAAAAGTCAAGGCCGAAAGTGGCCCTGGGGCAACGAAAGAAAGAAAGAAAATATATTTATTTTGACACAAACAACGAACGAAGATACAAGATTTTGAGCAGCATACGAGAAAAAAGAGCACAGCATTGGAAACAATAGGAAAACAACACATATCAAAAAAGTAACAGACACAATCTTACCATACCGTCGGAGTAACACACACGGTCCAGTTGTTAATCTAAATAAACTAGTTGAATACACACAAAAATTCACCAGCTGCTTTGCATCACGGTACTCATACTCCATAAGCTGTCGAATTATTAACGTATCCATGATGACGAAAATATAAATGCGAAAACAGAAAGTTAACCATTAAACAATTAATGACTAATATTCATAAAGGAATTTCATATTTTAAAATTTAAAATAACTTAAACTCTTCGCGAAAAAAGAAAAAAAAACTTAAAATAGAACGGCAATTTCATAGGTAGAGATATCTATCACTCATATGCTTGTTTTTTATCAATTATCGGTAAGGTAATAAAAATTTGGGATTTCCACCTATTTGTATTGTCAGAGGTCACGCGCGTTCATAAAAATCCTGGGAACATTCACCTTTTCCTATAAATATTTAATATATGTCTGTCTATCGATAACATCTTCACGCTAAAACCGCTGAACCGATTTAGATGAAATTTGATATAGGTACAGATAATATAAGTCCCGGGAAAGGACGTAATAGTTTCTATACGTAGTAGTTTTCTAGTCTATTCCAGAAATCATCAATCATCAAGGGGCGAAGATTTTATTTTATTTATTTAAACTTCATTGCCAAACATAAGCAAACGGCGGACTTAATGTCATAGGCATTCTCTACCAGTCAATCAGTATGAGTGTTGGAGACAAATAATATTATAAGTTTAGTAGTAGTGGTTTGTACGCCGGGTTTCATGACTGTCGCCGACTCGAGAGGTCCCGAGTTCGAATCCCGGTGGGGGCAGATGTTTGTGTGATGAATACGAGCATTTGTACTCCAGTCATGGATGTTTAATATGTATTTATATAAGTATACTTATGTATGTACAGTATATGTATTCTATCCGTTACCCTAGCATCCCATAACACAAGCCTTATAGTGCTTACTTTGGGGCTAGGCTAATTGGTGTCAGTGTTGGAAATATTTATTTATTTATTAGTATGGGAAAACAATTTATTTATTTTTAATTTCAGAAATAAACGAGCTGGCTAACATAATATCGGATTTGCCGCTCTCCGAACGTAGAGCGGTGGGCTGCGAGAAGAAAACACTCGAGACTCTGAACAAACTGTCCCCGCTGTCAGACTACCGCAAGCTAAAGGCCGACGCCAATAAGGTAATAAATAGATAAATTATTAACAGATGAGGAGCTCAATTGCGCAGGTGGCTAGCGCGTTCGGCTGCGATCGTTGAAGTTAAGCAACTTTCGCAGTGGTCGGTCATTGGATGGGTGGCCAAAAATCTTCTATCTCGAGTTCCTCCGTGCTTCGGAAGGCACGTTAAGCCGTTGGTCTCGGCTGCATCTGCAGTCGTTAGCACCCGCCAATCTCCCTATTCCATCCATGGGGAAGGCCTGTGCCCCAGCAGTGGGGACATTAATAGGCTGATGATGATGAAACGCGATTTAATGATTTTTTCAAATTAATCGTTTCATTCATTCGTAAATTAATCGTTTTTTTTTTGTATAGTCTGTTTTTTAATCTCAGAGACATAAATGACATAAGCGGTGTGGCCGATTTATTGAACTTCTTAAATAGTGATATACTACTATCGGAAATTAACGCTCATAAAACGTTTAGCATCTATCGTTTTTTATTTAAAAGAGTTTTAGTAAGTTATGATCACAGTGACTGCTCGCCACTTAGCGGCATGTCTGCCTGTATGTCGTTTCTTTGATATAAAATCAAAAAATAAAAACGGACTTGAAAATCCAAAATTTCCATTTAAAAGTAAAAACTTACATTGCACTATTTAATATATTTTAATTTTTAATCAGTATAATTAAGGGTTTTAAATCTTGACCCCACCCGACTTCTAAATCACCGCGGATTTCAAGCTTCCGTGTGAATCGGATATTATTTTCTTTCTTTTCAGTTACTTTTAAATAATTGAAGTTTTAATATTTTGTTTAAAATAAATATTTCGTCCGTTTTATAATAAAAAACGTTTTATATAAATAATAAAAAACCGGTATCGCTGGTACAACACTACATAATAAAAGCTGGTATAATTATTTGCACACTTGACATTTGTATGTGTTATTTTTGTCTCCGGGATTAAAAAACAGACTGTAGTACATAACATTCTACGGCGGACGTTTTCCTAAGATTCTACGACTGAAGCTTTGTTGGAACTATAACTGCAGTTTGAAAGGGAATATACTTCTGGTCCCCTAGCATGACCATCGCGATGTGATTTATAGCTCGTTTCTATCAGGCACACTTGTCAAATTACTATGGCGTTTGACAGATACACGTGGTGAAAAACGTCATATATTGCAAGTTGTGGTGCTCCATGCTACGGGGACTAAAGGGGTCTCATGGTACGAAAGTACACTAGTACCTACTACAGATCTAGGGAATTCTTCAAAAATAGACACATCAAAAGTAATATATATTTATTTAAGGATTCCCTAAAAATGGAACCATATTAATATGTCGTAGATCGTAATCGGAATGAGTAACAGAACTATGGTATTTATGTAGAATGTTTTGGAATTCAACACGGCCATTAAGGATGTAATATCAAAATTATTGGTAAGTGCGTCCGCCCGGATATGCGGGTTCGAATCCCGTCTAGAATCTGGGCCGTGTTTATCCTTTTCTATAAAACGTTTATAAAGTTAAATTTGTCCCCTTTAGGCTATGAAAGAAGCGGTAGGCAGCGGGTACAGAGTGCCCACGCCTCGTTGGGCCGGACACTATTTCAGCCACACCTCGCCCGCGCCCATAGCGATGCCGTCCCCAGCCCGTACTAGTACTACGGTCAGTATATAGCAAGCGGTACGGAGTGCCCTCCCCCGCCCGTACTACGGTCAGTATATAGGAAGCGGTACAGCGGGTACGAAGTGCCCTCCCCCGCCCGTACTACGGTCAGTATATAGGAAGCGGAACAGCGGGTACAGAGTGCCCTCCCCCGCCCGTACTACGGTCAGTATATAGGAAGCGGTACAGCGGGTACAGTGCCCTCCCCCGCCCGTACTACGGTCAGTATATAGGAAGCGGTACAGCGGGTACAGTGCCCTCCCCCGCCCGTACTACGGTCAGTATATAGGAAGCGGTACAGCGGGTACAGTGCCCTCCCCCGCCCGTACTACGGTCAGTATATAGGAAGCGGTACAGCGGATACAGAGTGCCCTCCCCCGCCCGTACTACGGTCAGTATATAGGGAGCGGTACAGCGGGTAAAGAGTGCCTCTCCGCCCCGTACTAACAGTACGTAATAGCCCTCATGAAAACATAACTCTCGTACCGTAATTATTATGATAATTGTCATAAATATGTCTGTTTACAGCCAGAGAAAGGCTGGAGCCGCGTAGAACTAACGCGGCCCAACATAGTGGAGGCATCGCCTTCGCCCCCGGCGCCGTCCGCTCGCCCGTGCCGGTACCAACAACTGTATGAGCTTCTACGAGACATAGGGCTGCAAAAGTACATAGGTGAGATATATATTATTACAGCGAATCAGAAATGATATGGAAGCATTACTTTCTAACAAAGCCCTCTAAAACGTAGTTACAAACTCATACTCATAGCTAAACTGCAATACAGTAAGTAACGCGACGAGCACACAGACAAAACCAATACTTTGACAAACAATGACTTATAATTATTATAATAATAATATTTATTTAACAAGAATAAAATTGTGGGTTACCTATAATGCGAAGAGATGGCGCTGCCTTGCAGCTTAAGAATGGCTAGATGAATTTTGACGCGGTCCGTGAGGGCCGCGGTAGCATAATTGGTCAGTCAGGTCAGCATTCGCCCGGATTGCAAAGGGTGCGGGTTCGAGTCCCGCCGGCTGCCTGGACCGCGTGGAATTTTTTCTAGTTATATTTTCTTTAGATTTAAACATCAAGCAGTGACCTGTTTTAAAATAATAAAAATTATAAAGAATAAAATGATACATTTACATTAATTTTACAATGTGCACCTGACAGTTAGGAGTTGTCCATTAATCACGTGAGGCTCGAAAGGGGGGGGGGAGGGGTTTATAAAAAATCACGAAATATCACAAGGGGGGGGAAATGTAGTGTTTCTGAAACTAAATGGTCAAACCAATAACCGTACAAATGCAATCATCATTTTTGTTATCATCCATCCGCAGCCGAATTAAAGGTATTTGCAAAACCGCACATCCTCAAGAAACCATTAAATACTCACCATATCCGTATATCATGGGTCCGCATATTCTGATTCAGCCCGGTCTTCCTATATAATATATCTTTCCTAGCCAGTCCCACATTAGACAATAGGTCTAATTTTCCCAACCCAAAACTGAATTTGACAATAGTATAGTTATCGTGTTTTATAAATACAAATGAAAATGCTAATAGACTGTTGTCAAATTTAGTTTCAAGTTTAGAGAATTGAGAACCATATTAAAATCGGGCCCTATTTCATTCCAAACTAAATTTACCTGCCAAGTAGTGTTGCCAGGGGGCCATTCGCCTAACGGAAATGCTTAGGAAAACGCTAACGCTTTCGCTTTCATTTTGTTATTTCTGACTTTCAAATACCTCACGCTCATTTCCTTTAATATTGTTATTACCAATGCAAAAGAAAAAAAAGAGCGCGCGGCATTTGAAAACCTCAGGCGGCTAGAAATAACAAAATGAAATCGAAGGCGTTAGCGTTTTCCAATGCATTTCCGTTAGGCAAATGGCCCCCAGGTGTCCCGATTTGCGCGGGACGTCACGATTTTCAGGGGTCTGGGGACGCTAAATGTCCCGATTAATCAAAAAATTAAATTTTGGTAATTAATATAATACTATACTTGCACTAATAGTTTAAAACGCAATAAATTAAACCCAGACTTAAAACCCTTTGTTTTTTGTTTACTGTCCCCATCTGCAACCCTAAATCCCGATTATTTTTACCTCATTTACCGATTTAAAACAAATTTAGGCCAGGCAACACTACTGTCAAGACAAAAATTTAAGAGACTAACTGTTAATAACCTCTGGTTTGTTTTCGCTAGAATTATTCAAGAAGCACGAATTGGACATGACTACGTTCGCATCTTTAAACGAAGCGGACCTTACGGAGATCGGAGTGAGTGCTTTCGGCGCCCGCAGGAAGATGTTGCTTATAATAGCCGGTCAGTATTATCATCTTAGAAGCGTGTATGACGTATCTATAACTTTAACATCATAGTTGACAAAATATCAAATATCTGCAAATGAATTCGTCTATCCTTTCATTGGGTTGGGATAATGTTAAACGGAAATTCCAACCAATCCCATGACCGGCGTGCTCCGCCCCGTACCCTTGATCGCAGTTTGCGTGGAACCACTTTTTAGTGCAGTTCGTATTCCATATTATTTCTAATGCGTTGTATCATCATCATCAGCCTATTAATGTCCCCACTGCTGGGGTTATACAGACAGATAAATTTTACTAGAAAAAAATCCACGTGAACCCGGCAGCAGACTGGACTCAAACCCGCACCCTACGCTATCCGTGCCGAGTTTCGTTAGATTTAAACATCTAGCAGTTAAATGATAAAAAAATAAAAATTTAACTATGATTGCTATTTCTTCATTCAAATGTTATACTTCTAAAGGTATTAATTTGTCATTATGGATGTGTACAATGTGAATAGATGGCGTTGCCCTGCCAAAGAAATACAAGAGTAAATTTAACACATGCAATTAGGGCCGCCGCAGCAACATTGGTTAGTGCACCGTGCTGGTTCGAGTTCCGTTTGCTGCCTGGTTCGCGTGGATTTTATTCTAGTACAATTTTCTTTAGATTTGAACATCTAGCAGTAAAATGCTTAAAAATAACTTTAATCTCCTAGTTTAATATGATTGAACGAAGCAACCTCACGGAGGTACAGTACCCTAGCACGATCTAATATCGAATTCGAATAGTTTGAGAGTCCGAAATGTCATTGTCAAAATTTGTATTAATACTTGAACAGCAGCGCCATAACTTACGAAACGAGAACTAAAAATCAGTACACATTTGGCAATTAGATTCCCTACTCGCAAACTATTCGTGCTAAGGGTATTGTACCCCTTGCACGGACCATTATCGAATTCGAATAGTTTGCAAACCGAAATATCAATGTCAAATTTTGTATGGAAAACTTGAACAGCAGCGGCACAAAGTACGTAACGAGAACTAAAAATCAGTACACATTTGACAATGACATTTTGGACTCGTAAACGATACGAATTCGATATTGGTTCGTGCTAGGAGTACCGATCTACTTTTTGTGACGTAAATAAAATTTATGGCGGTGAAAATAGGTAAATAAAGTTTGTTTGACAAACCAGTTATTGTATAAAGTTGCAAGCACTCGCTATTTTATTAATTAAATCTGAATCTCACTCATTGCAGAGCTACAGAAGCAATCGTCCGGGCCAAAGGGAACAGGCGGCAGTCCACGAAAATTCCCCTCCTCCCCGCCATACAATACGCCCACAATCACCGATAAATGGTAAAAATAAAACAGGGACAACGGGAACAGGGTACAGACGGGTCCATTCACCTCACCAACCTTTAACACTGGACGGAACACTATCGGTTATATTCTTTAACAAAAATAATTATATAAGACAAAGAAATCACTCAATAAGATATTTCACACATACAGACCCACAAACTTTGTCAACTTTCACTTTTTTAAGTGCTATGTATTCCGGGGAAAAATTATGTTGACCAATTTTCGAAGTCATGAAAAAATATCTATCTATAATCATTAGGTACATCATATACCTACCTGCTGCCGGATGTTTGTTGACAACAATTTCTATATTGATTTGCGTAGAAAATCGTTTGGCATAATAAAATTATATCGGACGAATGTACGTGTTTCACGTAAAAGCGTATTATGTGATCAGTTGACGTATTTCTTTACTACTATGTACTTCTATTATAATTGGAAAGATCATTTTTTTTAATCGATTCATTATTCTGTTGGACTATATGGAATTAAAATGCTACCTGCGGACAAGCGAAACCTTCTACGTGGCTAAATACGTGTGCCTTGATTCGATGAGGAAAATGAGAAATTGATACACCTGCCAAAATTGATACCTGCGGGGACAAGCAAATCCTTGTAAGGGGCTAAACAATTGTGCCTCGATTCGATGAGGAAAATAAGAAATTGATACGAAAACTGCCAAAATACGTCGATGTTTGTTTTCCCTGTTTTCGACGCGGCGACATTGTGTTCCGTCCGGATCCAAGACTGATAAATAATATGATAGGAGCGATAGATGCGTTCCCTAAACTGAGAGTTGAGACTGTTTATAATATTTTATGTGTCACAGTCGCATTTTTTCTCTTCACGCGTTTCCAATTATCTAATCAATTATCACAATTTAAATAACTTCCAATGAAAGTTGCGGCTGTGACGTTTATAACTCAGATATATCGTTGAATTTTTGAGAATTTTATATTTAAGTAAGTTGTTTTTATTAGATTTTAAGATAGCTTAAAGCGATACGACGATTTGATCTCCATCATAGACAATTGTTGAAGTAAACGAGCCGGCGACCCCGGCCTTAAAACTAGTTCTTAAGCATTACTTTTTTGTTTTATGGAATTTTAATCATAGCGTTTAGGAAGAGCATGTTTTATTTTTTGATTTTTTTTAACACAGCATTTTATTAAGATCTTTACCATATATTTTCAGACTATGTATTTTTTGATTATCATGATATTGGGCGTACCGTTTTTTAACTTTTGATTATTATGGAAAATTGGAGTCAGTGCTTATTTTACAATTAAAATTACCTCGTCTAATTCAAACTTTCCTTTTGATAACATATTTTAAGTAATATGATTGTAAAGGGAGTCACCATGGGCGATTGACGATATTCCAATAAAAAAAAATCACTTCATCAAATAGTGCACTAGGACAGCAAAAAAAAAAACAATGTAATTTGACTTGATTTTAAATAGGACACATTTCATACAATTCCATGCATCCGGGGCAACGGCTGGAATATTTTAATCAGTTAACATTGAATATATATCAGTAATCATTATGTTTTGTTGTGATTATGAATTGGAGTTTTTTTTACTACGTGTGCATTTTGATTTTAACCTTATTAACATGCTAATTTATTTTGAATGCGTTTTAATGTCTACGATTTGTATATTTTATGTTTTGTATTGTAAAGTTTTGGTACATAACGTATGTGTCGGTCGATTCATAATAATGAAATGTAATAAGTGATGTACTTTTAGGAACCACGTAGTTATGTATCAATCCTTTTATTTTAGTTCTTTTTTATGATCAGAAATATGTTATTGTTTTTTAATCATGAACTTTTGATTTTGATAAATCTTTTTAAGGTGTGATTGTGAGATGTTAGACCTTGGTCTTTCACTGATTATGAAATACTAAGAAAATAAATTGCTGAAGAACGTTATTGGCAATCATATTCGAGATGAGATTAGAATTGTAATTAATGCATTAGGTTTTTCTATATTTACAGTTAAGTACGGAAGTTTTGCACGATTGTTTTAAGTTTTGCTTGTCCGATTAAACTTTATATAAAAATATATATTTTTTATTTTGCTAAAACCGCCTACCCCTGTTATATGGTCCTGCAGAGTACACAATATTTTTGTCAATATTTCGTGGTAGTCTGGCGCAGTCGTACAGCTTCATCTGATTCAGTAACTCGCTTTATATAATAGAGAAAGAAAATAGCTGCAGCATTGAATGGCATTAATAGGGTATTTTCCAAATTTTTAAAAAATGTTTATATTTAAAGATTGGGACAAACGATTTAACAGAAAAATAAAAATAAATTAATTACTGTCTCCTTTTCTCCATTAAACCAATTAAAGTTGAATATATTTTTAATGGTTTTAAATGTACCGCCAAAACGTTCGGTTCAATGATGTCTACTGTGTGACGTCAACTTTGTGTAAAGAACTTTAACACCTATGTAGTCTTAGGATGATCTGTGATTACGGAATAATTATTTGACGAATTCTTTTCTTTAAAAATATTTTGTGTAAGTATTATCCCACCAAAAACATTCTGTAAAAAACTAGCCAAGTCTCGATGGTGCTGCTTGTTTATCTCTAAAAAGTAATGAAATCTAGACAAAGTCATGCCAAGTCTAAGGTGCCTTACTGCGATTTCTTTATTATTATAGTTAATATTGTGTGACTTGGCCGTTGAAGGGTACACAAGGGTACGAAACCAAGTGCTACATGACACCATTGCACCAATCTGTCGCCAGAACCGCTACCCATTGACGATGGACAATTGCCACTTGAAAAACGTTGATTGAATAACCAGTCAATTGTACTCTTGATAAAGTTGCGTTTACACGTAATGTTGCATGTAGGAATGCATCGGTGCAATGGTGTCATGTAGCACCTGGTTTTGTACTCTTGTGTACCCTTCAACGCCCAAGTCACATAACATTAACTATAATAATAAAGAAATCGCAGTAAGGAACCCAAGACTTGGCATGACTTTGTCTAGATTTCATTACTTTTTAAAGATAAACAAGCAGCACCATCGAGACTTGGCTAGTTTTTAACAGAATGTTTTTGGTGGGATTTCACTTCTTTTTGTAGAAACGTGGGCATATTGTTGTTTTTTATTAGAATTGCTTATATGACACATTTTTTTGAAGTTATACTTCTTTAGGCGCGTTATGAAAAAATGATGAGAGTGAAATTTTAAGATGCGCGCGCATCACTGTAACATGTGCATTTTTTAACAGCATGAAGTTGGTCGCTTTAGCGACCCACTTCATGCTGTTACTTTTGTGTTTACCGCACATTAAGAAAATCTACCAACAAAATAGAAATAGAATCTCTATTTAGTGGGTGCTAACGACTGCATTGTGAAGGCCTATCAAAAGTATTTATTAATCTGAAACAACGGAACCAAAGCGCGATTCAGGAGACTACAGCGCCATCTCTTGACCATTGGTGTAGTAGAACCAAAAACCACATCTTTATTTTTTGTAATAAAGTAACAGTTATAGGTATTCATATTTATAATATCAAAAGTATTTATTAATCTGGAACAACGGAACCAAAGCGCGATTCAGGAGACGACAGCGCCATCTCTTGACCATTGGTGTAGTAGAACCAAAAACCACATCTTTATTTTTTGTAATAAAGTAACAGTTATATTTATTCATATTTATAATATTTATCCACATGTTTCTAGTTTGTATATTCGGAATACGTGTTTGAGTTTCATACAAGTGCAAATCACATATGTTCTAATAAATTATATTCAGTAGCGATTTTAATTGAATATTTTGATTATTTATTTATTTTTTCAAATTAAAACTGAACTTTATTGACTGTGTCCTTTTCCAGACTTTTTATTAATTTATTGTAATTAATTATTTGCATGCAATTAAAAACTAATTTTAAACGATGCCAAAGAAGGATAACTTCTCACGCGCCTACATAAGTACACGCACCCATTTTTTTTTCTTTTTAGGAGTAGTCTTTTTATTATTACAAATCTTTCTTTTCTTTTTCCCGGTTCTTGAACAGTAGCAACAGTTTTTCGTATTGCCCATTCGCGTTCTTTATTTATTCTTTTAGACGGTTTAATTTCTGAAAGATCGGCGCGGTATTTACGCCTAAGCCGGTTGTATTCTGTGATAGCTGAAGCTTGAGCTTTTATACTCTTGAAGTCAACATTTATGAGGTGCACCCCATGAAGATTGGTTACTCGTGAAAGCGCTACGTAGGCTTGGCCACAAGAGAATATGGAGGTGCCAATGTCCATGAGGGCATTTTTTAGACTTAGACCTTGGTATCACCGCCACTCTTAGTCCAATGCATATTTTGAAAGAAATTAATATTTTAGTGTAATTTGTTTATTTAATTTGTGTAATGTTCGAGTAAAATAAAGTAAATCGTTCGACTATTTTTTCTTGTAAACTCGTAAGTATAAGTATAAAAGCCAGTATAGTGTTATCCAGAGTTTTCCTTTAATTTTATTTATATGCGTATTAAAAGAAGAAGGGGAGGCATTCGCCCAGCAGTGGGACGCTATAGGCTAGATTAAATTAAAAGATGTGTCTCACTACGCTGGATTTTTGCAATGACAGTCGATTTTTTTGTGTGCCAATAGTAGAAGGGGGCATTACCATATCTCTAATACAGCTGAGACCAGCTGAGGGTTCTTCATCAGATACTTCAGACCTTCGATTTTTGACATCAAATGTAACGGCTCACCAAGTTGAATATTTTTTGTAAAGGCGGTATGTCGATCTCTTCTAATAGTTTGGTTGGGCTCTTGTGTTTTCTAATCAGGGTCACCAGGTACTCCAGATCTTCGATTATCCTAGTTTTTATAGTTTTCCCTTTATGTGGGAACCCCATTAAACCCTAACTCTGTACCAAATTTCAGCTCTCCGAGTTTATGGGAAGTACTAGTTCTATTCTGATGATCATGAGTGAGTGAGTGTCATAAATGCGAAACTTTGCTTTCGCTTAACTTCGGAACTAAATGACCGCAGAAATTGTTTAAAATGATTATTTTACTTAGTACTTTAATTTTATTAAGGTCTTTCAGGCAATGAAATCATATAAAAATTTCTGCCACCAGCTGCCTATAAAAGCAATAACGTCGACGCACCGTAAAATGGTACCCACGGAAAGGGAATTTGCTATTAAGGGGCCAATAGACAATAATATGAAATAACTATATTACTCTTTTGTCAATAAACTTTTATTCTTAAGATAATAAATTAATAAACGTGTGACGCGTGTAATAAATTAATATATAAATATGATTTCATTTGCATAACTAAGAATTATTAAACACCTAAACATTTTACTAGAAAAAAATCCACGCGGTCCAGGCATCAGACGAGATTCGAACCAGCACCTGCCACAAACCGGGCGGACCAGTAACTAATTATGCTACCGAGACTTTAATGACCGGGTCGAATTTCTTCTAGTATTTATTAGGCTGCAAGGTTCTAAATGTAAAAGGTGCGATATCGAATCCCGTCTGATGCCTGGACCGCGTGGAATAATTCTTATAAAAGTTTTACAACTCTACAATTGTTATTTTTATGTTTAATACTTGTAAAAATATTACGTTTGACATTGTGGATTGCCTATAATGCGAAGAGATGGCGCTGCCTTGCAGCTTATGCAATACTAGAAGAAATTCGACACGGCCATTAAGGTCTCGGTAGTGTGTCCGTCCGGATAGTGGAAGGTGCGGGTTCGAATCCCATCTAATGCCCGGACGAAAGTTTTCTAGTAAAAAAATCTTAAGATTAGTTAAATGCTTAAAATAAGAAATATAATATACATTACAATAAAACATATAATGTAATTAAAATACTGCTGATCAATTAAATTTTCTCTTTTAATACAGGTAAGTAATCTACTATTTAGTTTAAAAAGATTTTTTTTTTTAATTCTTATTTACATAATGATTTACTTAAAATTCTAAGTCTTTGGTCAACATTTTGGAGTTAACATATTTTTTATATACAATTACTAATACTATCAACATTAAATTTGATTAATCAGTACAAATGTCCGAGATCCGGGCCTCACTAACGAGATTCTGTATGGCAAGTTGAAGTCTCAATGCTTTCTGCAAATCCATTTGCCTCAATTGTGATGCTATGTACTTACCATAAATATCAAATTCATCTTCTGTTGCAACGTTTTCAGGTGTTGAATCTGAGGAGCAGTCAGGATTAGGTGCTTTATGCTTTATTTTTTTCCTTTTGTTGCTCTTCTTATGGTTAAGTGTGAAATATTTTTCTTTTTCGCTTTTATGCTCATTATTATGACCATGTTCAGTATCTGTGGGTGGAACTAAGGGATCTGGATTCTGTTCGTGAGTGTTTCCATCAGCAAGTTCTTGATCAACCCATATTCGACAAGAAGAATCAACTTCAGCTGTCTCTTGCGACTATAACAAAAAAAAATAGTTTATTATATTTATTTTTAAGCATTAAACGCATTTGCTAGCTGCTGGGACTACGATGAATTTTTTCTAGTAAAAAATATTCTTAAAAAAATTCAAATACAGCTGTACACAAGATGGCTAGTGCAGATCCTGTATACTTAAATTCGACTTTCGGTATATCTACTTTACGCGATCGTCGTACTCTAATAAGTTAGTAGTAGAAATCAAGTAAATGCAGAGATTTTAAAAAATAAATATTTGAAATGCAAAATAGAAAATACCTATTTCTATTTTGTATTAAAGTACTTTAGTTTCTCTTTTATTTGATATAGTTTCAAGAAATGTTTTGTATGTATTTGCAAAATGCTTAATACTTTTTAACAGTCTAGAAAGGAGGAGGTTTTAATATTCTCAATTCGGTCAGTATATTTGATTTGTATGAATATACATCGATTATGCTGAGGTTCCTGTTTAATTTACGTGATTTTTTTGTCTGATGCAGAATAGTTGATCCCATATAAATTTAATTCAGTTTTGCGCAGTAGTTTTTATTTTATGGGCGTTTTTGTAAACTTAAGCGGTGTAATTATTCCGATACTTTATTTAGTACACCGATTACGTAAAGATTTCTAATCTGAATTGAGTGATCCTTTTTTGTTCAATTGGAGATACTTGCCATTTAGTTACTTAAATAATAATTAAGTTTCACCTGATTGTTTTTATTTTATAAGCATTTTACTTACTAGGCGATGGAATTATTATTCACGACATTTTGTGGCTCTTTTTATTAGGGAGTGAAAAGAAACTTATTTTTAAACAAAAAATGAAACCCGGATTAGAAGTCGAAAATGAAACGAAAAGAAAAACTGATATTTAATGATACTCTTTAGAATAATGTTGAACCGAGATTCAACTTTCATGCGGCAGAGTATTATAGCATAACAAAAGAACTGGATTCCATTAATTGGAAGGAACTTTTTTCATGTTGCGTTGATATAAATGAAATGACAGGTTTATTTCATAAAAAGCTTAATATACTAATTGAGAAACATGCACCAAAAACAAATCATAAAAATAAGAAATATCCTGCCTGGTTCACAAAGAAATTAAAATATCAATTAAGAGAGAAGAACAAAGTTAGACTAAGAGTAAAAAAAATATAAAAATCAACTAGATAAAGTTGCATTTGATTTGTTACACAAGGAATCAGATAAATTCATTAAAGATTGTTATTCTAAATACATTAATTTGATGGAAAGTAAGCATAGCTAAGAACACAAAAAAATTTTGATCTGATCTAAAAAATATTA